CTACACCAACTACCAAGAATGTTCAAGTTTTTCTACAGAGTTTTGGAAATTTAAAAAAAGTTGTCCTGGAACATTCCTGAAGTAATTTATACTACTTACTCCCTAATATACACCCACTCTTCAAAACTTTAAATATATAAGACAAATGTAGGTATAAACAACAAGTATTGTAATTTGTAATGGAATAAATAAATGAAGCATCAAATAAAGTGATAACAAGATTAAATAAAAAGCAGAGTTGTCTTTCCCTGAATTAAATACAACTGTATTGGAAATATGAAAATTTAGTTTAACTTTATAATATTTGTATTTAAAGGTTCTTTTTTATAAATGAATAAACTTGAATCAATAGCTACAATTGTATCTTGAACCCTCGAACGTTATATTTATCCTTTGGATATATGGTACACAAGTTACAACCTTAAGAACCAGATCATTGAATTAACTATTTGTACTTGAAAATTATATATTAAAATCAATCGACAATGGTATACATTGTAGCCTTCAACAACTAGCAAACTCAGTTAGCTATGATCAAATTTAAAAAATTGGCATATTGCTTAGGCCCAGGCGAAGCCGGAGAACTCATCTGGTTTATATAAACAAAAGATGACAGTGTACTAAAACTAAATACTCATTACTACAGCAATTTACTGTAATATGGGGAGAGTCGACCAGTTTCAGCAAGTCGTATGTCCAAACGAACAAAGTTTTTGGAAATAATAAAAAAACCGATTAATTTATAATTTATGTAGGTATTAAATTTGGTTTTCAGTAATAGTAGATTACCTAGACAGAGAATAATTGAAAAAATGTAATAAATACCTAATGATGAATTTACCCTCTTTGCAAATTATATAATTAATATTAAGTACCATGGTGAAATTAGGAAAAACTGTACACCATTCTTTAAAATATAATTCATCAATGGTCTAGTAATAAGGATAAGTTAATATTTTAACATAAAAAAATATTAGTTATTAAGTAACAATTTTCTTTCCAAAAAATTAAATTGACTAAACAGTCATAGGAACTTGATGATTAATGGCAAATAATCAAATGACTTCATACGCTCTCTCTATAACAGCATCAGGTAGTAATGGCAAAGCAAACAACATTCTCAAAGCTTTTAATGCTTGACCATTAGTATTTATTATATGGAGAAATCTTTTTTTTTTTTCATATTTTTCCATACCGCCTGTAAAAATAGAAAATAGTAATTACTTCAATCACACTATTACTATCTACTTATCTATTATTACTGTTGCTATTATTTATATTTTATTTTATTGTTATATTTAAAACAGATCGAGGTCTAATTACAATCATACACCTATTAGGTACTTATAAAATAAACAATAAGCAAATTTTGTATTTAATAATATGGAATCTGTTAATAATGAAGGATGTTCTCCAAGATAATATAGTATTACCTTTACCGAAACAGAATTTAGCTTTGTGATAATACAAAATGATTAACTCTGCCAAACATCTTTGCAAAATCAGTGTATATGACATCATGAAAGAAGCTATGAATATTGTGGGAAAGAGTGAGCAGGTTAATATTTGTTGAGTGATTTTCACGGAAACAATGTTTGATATAGACTAATATATTTTTTAAAATACGGGGTTATTTTCTTAGACGGCAAATCTTTAAAAGTTTTCAGTAAAATTTGAATAATAAAAATCGGGACAATAATCACATCAGTTAAACAGTTTCATTTAAATATAAAATGTTCACGGAATAACATCATGATATTTATCTATACTACAGCATATTATTTTTTGAAGTCAGGGGATATGAAGTGAAATAATTCTGCAAATATAGCATGCAAAATCAATTAGCTAATTCTACACTATGACTAGTAAAAGTGTAGAATTATATGAAATAATAAATTAAAACTGATAAATATATTTTTAGCCAACCTAATCAAAGAGAATGGCTCTACCGACATTCGTATAGAGATGATCAAGATGTAAAAAATACTTATTTATTAAATAACCTACTTGATTGTGGTGGAACCAGCAACCAGCAACTCTTGTTTGGGGAAATAATGATAATAATGTATCTCGAAGGGCTGTCTCAAAATCTGTTATTATAACAGATGGGTTTAAATTTGGGACAATATTTGTTTTCACAAAATTTAAAACACTAATGTAGGCATTCCTTGATTTTGATTCCATTAAACAATATACAACAGGTATGGACTAAACAAATATATACATAAAATTACAATTAAACACAACATAAAAAATATTTAAGATACCAGGAATCTTATGTGTATGAGTGGCTAAACAATTTGTTTTCTATATAAGTTATTAACCAAAAAAATAGTTGTCATAGGTACTTTCTATTTCTGCATTTAGAAATTGTATTCATTTTTATTTTCGTATAAATATATATATATTCTTTTCTTAACTAATAATTATACGTAATCCACAAAAAAATATAAACGTGTGAAATATTAAAACAACTTACATGGTTTTGAATCATACAGCGAATAGTTAATAATTGTTTACCCGTGTTTGGGGGTTCAATTTTGAATGTAGCATCAATGTGTATTGCTTCAACATTCGCTACTAATTGAATTAAACCAATGCAAGCAAACATTAGACTTTGGTGACCGTCAATACATAGCACACAGCCCTTGAATATGCTTTCATTACAGCATGAATATCGTGGAAGTGTTCCATTTTCAAAAAGAACTGCCAGTTCAGTACAAGAAGTTGGTAAATTCGGAAGAGAGTGCTTTCTCGCTATACGCATTATAGATTCAGCTGTTGCCCAAGAATAGAGACTGCTAGCTACTAGCTTCAGGATTCCTTTAAAAATTAAAAATTGTATATAAGTTTTACAAATGTATGAAAATAAACCAAGTAGACAATATCGATTAAGATACATTTCTGATTCTTGATCATATATTAATTTTAATTTACCATTTTCTTTACTGTCTCGCGTTTTTAGAATCAATCTAAAAGATTTAATTGACATCTCATTATTGTCTCTCATTTCATGTCCATTATGGGGTTTGATGATAATTAATGTCCCATCAGTCAATTTTTTTTAATGAACCCTTGCAGAAGTTGAGCCCTTGTTTGGCACATTGATAGTAACTACAAATAAACGATTAATTGTGTAGGTACAAATATTTAATATTGTATTACTATTTTACAATAATCTACAGGGTGAAACTGGCCCTTAAGTAATCCAAGAGCAGTGTGTTTTACTATTGTCCCTGTGAATTTCAATTAGGTACTTACGTAACGCCTTTTTTCTTCCCCAGATTGTCATAAATGAAACCTCCATGTTCCATTATATAGAACTGTAATATAATTATAAGGTTGAAAGAAAGCGTCCAGCTGATGGTCGTATGATTTAAAATATACAATTTAAATATAAAAATAATGTACAAACGTATACCTATAATTAAAAATGTATAATCAACTCTTATTAAAAATTGCAAAGTTTCTACAATAAAATATAAAAATATATATAAAATAAAATTGTATGATACACTATGTCAATATGGTTAAATAGTATGCGGAGGGTGTGCAGATAACGCTCTAAGACCTCTCGAAGTACAACAAAACTTTGTTGTTTGACTATGTATGAATAAAAAACACATGCAAAGCACCACTATTTTAAATTATAAAGAATTTTATAATATTATTAATATCTTGTAAGGATAATTTTTTTTTTTTTTAAAAAGGTGCCCGGTAAACTAGATTTATACCAAAATGTAAAACAGCTACATTATCTGCATTAAAAATAAACGTAACTACACAATACAGCAACTTTTAATTGCATATTTGCCTTTTAATTTTTTTTTTATATAAACTGAGAATAATTAAATCTTAAGACTAACACTGTACAAAATTCAAAATTTATTTTAACTTTTGGGTGTGTTAAAGTTTCCCAAGCAACCCCTAGTTACACCCATGGAGACGGGGATCAATTGTATATGTTTTTTTTAATTATTCCTTTAGACATTTTACATGTTACATTTTATCAAATTATTACAACAAAAAAATATTATGTTAGATGTGACATCTTCAAAATTATTAAAAATAATAACGAATATGTATTGGTCGGTACTTAATAATAATTTTCAAGATTTGGACCCTGGCATCTTTTTCCCTGACTCACATTGGCTAGGTACCGAATAATATAATAAGGTCTAAATCTTTCCCATGCATTTTCTATTTAATTAATTGCTCCTTTACAAAATTATTCAATGTATTTACCCGTATTACATTATTCTTGTAATCGTTTGTATCACTCTACGGTTGGTTTTTTTTTCTAAAAAACCAATTTAACGGCACAAGCAACTCAGGTTTCTGTGATTATAAATACTGTCAAGAGTTTGATGGATAAATTATAATTATTGTGGTCTCGCGGTATAAAATGCTTGTAGTATTTGACTTCTGAACAAGCGGTGAATTGTAAGCCCACATGGTATTTTCATTTTGAAGATCTAACACGTTTTTAGGGACGGATAGTCTTATATAATATGCTTTTGATTAACTATCATAAAGACTAGTGGAAAACCTAAGAGTACTAAAAATATTGGATTTTCCACCAATTAAAAAAAAACTATTCCAGACATAAAAACACTAAATTAACCTCTTTTTTTATCTTAGTATAGCCCAGACTGAGAGGGGGCAACAAATGGCTAACTTAAGATTTAATTTTGTATAAGCTCCGCTTAGAAAATAATTTAAATATTGTATTTAAATTTATCTTTGACAAAACTTAATATGTAAAAATCCGTTGTGATCATTCGGTTATTTTAGTTAATTAAGAACATAATATATATTTTCATAGTATTTACACTATGGACTTGTTGATTAATCTAAAATAATGTTCTGGTGTTAATAATTATTAATTAATAATTAATTATTTTACAATTATCTACTGAGATGCATGAAACAGTGACTCTCTGACGCTAACGCTCTCGGCCATTAAATTTGCAATCTGTATTTTCAGTTCAGTTTAAATATATGTGCCAGTGTGTTATTGTAATATAAAAAAACTATGGATAGTGATGCCGAGTGACAGTGATTTGAAACACATACAGGTCGACAAAACGTAAGTAACATAATAATATTTTTATAGAAGTGTATTGTGCACGGCACACGGTTTGACAAGTGTGCGAACTTGTGGCACTATTTACTATCGGCTCTCTACTGTGGGCACTTATAGGGTCCGAGTTTATTTTGTTTTCCGAGCGAGGCACGCGCGGTTCTTACAAGGACCTCTCCTTACAAAAAATGTATCTACCATTTGGTATAATAAAATAATAGTACAAATATTAAGTTTAATTTTAAATAGGAATTCAAAAAAGTAAACATTAAGAGTTTATTACATTTTATTTTATTAGCAGAAATAATAAAAAACTCTAAACGTATTTTATTGTACAGACTATAATTATTCAACCTTAAAAATAGTTGGTATACTTAAAAATAAAGAGGAAAAAACGTTTAAAATATCAACACATAAAACTGTGGACATAATATCATTAACCATATCCAAAAAATAAATTCATTATATTGTTTCACTTAAAGTTATAACAGTTTAAAATTTAGGAAGAGAAGGGAAGTGCGGGTAGGATGTTAATTTAATTCTTACAAATGTTTCGTTATAATACTGATCAAACATTTATGGGGTTAGTAGCAATAATATATTTATGAAATTAATTCACATTTTTATTGAATGTAACATCATTTATCGTTGAGCCTCTGACCCAATTTTCAATAACAATTGCTTCATAGCCTATGGGTCATTTGGATATGATTGGAGGTTTTCTTTTCATATATTTTCTCAGATATCGAGTTGCTTTTTAAAACGATCAGTTTTTTGTTATTTGTCTTTATATGTTTTAATAAACAAGCGTGCAAAGTAGAACCCTACCTTACATAAATAACAGCGAATTTTTGTTCTGTATTTGTTCAGATTTCGACTTAATATTATAGTTTTTTTCGTAAACAAGTTGGTTTTAAAAGTATTTTGCTATGTTATTTGGGTACTTCAATGTTTGAACTTATTTATTTTCTTGCATTGTAGAATCATGTATCATAGTAAAATACTCAAAGTACCAAAAAAAAAAGCTAAAATATCACAGCACCCAATTATATTATAAAAATAATTATAATTTAGGTTTTCAACATTATTCGTTGTCGATATACGCAGGAATTACAATCTAATTCGAAATGTATATCATTATATAACTATTCAAATATTCAAATCTTTAAAAATAATATATATATATATATAATTATTGAAACATCAAGATTCTACTGTGTAAAAAATAAAATAGGCCAAAAATGTACTACAAAAACAACTGCAAAACAAAATATGTTAAGAAAAACAACTCGTTTTCGATAAATAAAATAAAAAATAATAAAACCATACAAATTGTTTTTGTAAAATACGAAGATTCTTATAATATTCAAAGTTTATGATATCTATAGGAATTTACCAATTGTTTACATTACAACAGTCGCTGTGAAAAACAACATGGTTTTGATGAAAAAAAACAATAATACAATACTGGATTACAATTTACACGATAAATGATTTTACAAAAACTCCATGTAATAAGTTATAATTATAAAACATTTCCAATTTAGGAAAATGCAATACATTAACCGTATGTAAATTTTACAAAATGGGTACTCGCCGCCACAGTTATTATACATTCATAACATTCTACGTTGCTTTAAACAAGCACAAGCAAACTCAAAACATAATTAGTTTCAAAAAAGTAGCTCGTATTTTCAGTTGTTTACATTGCCTCAATCGGAGCAGATAACAATTTAATTTTAATTAAATAAAACTACAATACAACTATACAGATTCTTTTGTAAAAATTGACAATTCCAATTATTTAAAACATAAAAGATAATAATACAAACCAATTAAACAAATGCTCTAATTAATGTACTTCTGTACTTTGTACGTTGAATGTAAAAGACGTTATATTTAAAATTTACAATAACAATTAAGTGAAATACAAAATATAAAAAATATTTTGTTTTATCGTTTGTGTACCTAAATGTTTATACCATTTATATTCTCGCATTTTAGAACCTTGATGTTACCCTGATAAATTTTTAAATTTGCATTTCATTTTTATTATAAATAACGAACATAATACTACCACTTTTTCTTAAACATCTTGAAATAATAAACGAAAAATTACAAATAAATTCTATAATGATTAAGGAAATATGTGTTTCCTCAAACAGCGATTTAAATTTATAGGGCGCTCGTGTGGTTTATGATAATATAGTCTTCTTGTAGAAAGACATCAGCTTATAAGTCACTCTTTGTCAATATCGGCGTAATTAATAATTATACCTTTTGACACGTTTCTAAAATAGGTATTGCACAAAGTGACAAGCTATAGTGTGTCTGAATGCTTTATATGTATGTCAAGCCATGGATGACGCTAATATATACAATTTTAGTATTATATTAAAACCCATTAATAATTGTATTTTTAAACTATTCTATACAACTATTATTAATAGTATTTTCCCGAAAATTTAAAAAGTGTCATAGTAATTCATTTAAATTATTTAATTTTAGTTATTTTAAAGAAATATCAGTTTTTGTCGGTGTAAAAACGATACGTTAATATATGCTCAATAAAAAAATCGGAATAACCTAACCGAGATAACGCGATTTAGCTTGTAATTTAATATCATAAATTATGATAAACAAACAGTCCACCGGGCATCGGAGACCGTATAAAAAAGATTGAACTGTATAGGATCTCTGATCGATTATACTTGGTCGAATCGATGCCGTGCTGGCTTTTTAGGTTCTATTTCGTTGGAAATTATATTATAAAAATAATTATAATTTAGGTTTTGTACATTATTGGATATCGATAAAAATAGAAATTACAATTTAATTTGAAATGTATACCATTATATAACTATTCGAATATTCAAATCTTTAAAAATAATATATATATATATATAATTATTGAAACATTAATATGTACTACAAAAACAACTGCAAAACAAAATATGTTAAGAAAAACAACTCGTTTTTGATAAAAAAAAAAAAAACAAAAATACAATATTGGATTACTATATATGTACATACAATAAATTATTTTACAAAAACTTCGTATAAAAAGTTATAATTATAAAACTCTTACAATTTAGAAAAATGAAAACCCTGATGTTACAATAATTAAAAATAGGGTTTTAAATACTTATTATAAATAACGAACATAATACTACCGATTTTTCTTAAACATCTTGAAAAAACAATCAAAAAATTACAAATAAAATCTTTACTGATTTAGGAAATATATATTTCCAGTGACTGAAGATTAGTAGTACCCGGTTATTATATTGTGTGTTATAGTCTGTAGGAGGAAAGTGCAGTATTTTTTTTATCCGCGCGCATTTCCCACCGCACTTCCCCTCCCATCCGAACTTTTAAACTCTTAAAAGTTAAAAAATAGTCGCAGTATTTTTGTCCATAAAAGCCATAAAACAATTAATCCAAAATATCCCAGCTGTATTTTAAAATCAATTATAATTTATATTTTGCCCATTATTGGATAGTGATAGAGATGAGATACAAGTGATGGAGATTGTTTGATTATCAATAATTATTAATTTAAACATTTTTATGATTTGTAAATCACTTTCTAAAGCCAACATTTTTAAAAATAAAAAACTACATTTATAATGGTCATATGAAAAAAAAGTTATTAGAGTCATTACTGTTGCGTTCTGCTTATTTTTTTTCACATATAATACAACGTGTGATGGGCTATGTAAGATTTTATATGTAAGGCGAACTAAAATATAATAATGTAGTCTCAAAAGATTTTAGTCTAATAGTAGAATTTTTTTTAACAAATCTTGTTAATTGTTATAACGCTTAAATCGACATAGATTTTAAGGTATTACGTTGTAACCTTAGACATTTTTAATGGCAGGCTTCGACATTTTTTCAGCTTATAAAATCCGTTTTCGATGGATTATTAGATAGATTCGATTTTTTTACTGCTACGAAAATTCATGTGAATGAAATGAAAATGATTTGGCATGACAACGGTGAAACTATGAGAGCTAATTTTTCACCCGATGAATTGGCACGAATGAATCAAGGTAATCATGAAATATATTAACTCTATCGTGTAATAATAGTTTTCTTTGGTTTCGAGGCACCAAGTTTTGTTACAGTTGGTTTCTGGACAACTCTGCAACTACTTTTTACACTCTATAACAATATAATATGTAGGTATATTATAATTATTGTTCTTTTTTGTATCGTTTTAGAAGGCATAGATTTAAAACAATTTGAGAAAATCACCAAGAAAATTTGCAAAGACAATGACCAAGACTTTATACAATTTTTGAATGAACTGTTTTTGATTGTAAAAGAAATTGTTTTTTTGTTTTTGAAATAAAAACTATATTATATGAATTATGTAGTCTAGTTATTGTATCCGGTCCTTATTAATCTAATTATAAATCTAATTATTAAGAAAATGTTACGAACTGAGTAAGGATTTGTAATAATAATTTTAGGTTTTTTTGTTTTTTAAATAGTGTACCGAAATGTAACGAAAAGATTTTTAAACATTAACAGATTTTATAAACATTCTAAGATGCTGGCTTTTTAAATTAATAATTAATGATATTCGTACAATTCCCATCACTTGTATAGTTATATCCACTAACGGACAAAATATAAATTATAATTGATTTTAAAATACAACTAGGAATTTGCTATACTTTAGATTTGCAGCTTTGGTTTTTATGAACTACATCACTATGATTAGTGACTACAGCACAGAATATAATAAACGAGTCATACTAATTTTTTAACACTGTTTGATGAAATACCTACATATTTCCTAAATCAGTAAACATTTTATTTGTAATTTTATGTTTATTATTTCAAGATGTTTACGAAAAAGTGGTAGAATTATATTTGTTATTTATAATATATATTAAATGCGAATTTAAAAATTTATCAGGGTAACATCAAGGTTCTAAAATGCGAGAATATGAATGGTATAAACATTTAGGTACACAAATAAAAAAAAAAAAATTTTTAATATTATGTATTTCACTTTATTTTTATTGTAAATTTTAAATTTCAATTATAATGTCTTTTACATTCACCGTACAAAGTCTAGATTTACATTAATTAGACCATTTGTTTAATTTGTTTGTATTATAATCTATTATGTTTTAACATAATAGGAATTGTCAATTTTTACAAAACAATTTGTATATTTTTATTTAATTGAAATTAAATTGGTATCTGCTTCGATTGAGGCAGTGTAAACAAATGAAAATACTATTTTTTTGTAATAAGTTTTGTTTTGATGTTTGTGTTTGAAGCATTGTAGAACGTTTTTGATATAATAACTGTGGTGGCGAGTACCCATTTTTTAAATTTGCATACGGTTAATGTATTGCATTTTCCTAAATCGGAAATGTTTTATAATTATAACTTATCATAAGGAGTTTTTGTAAAATAATTTATCGTGTAAATTGTAACCCAATATTGTATTGTTGTTTTTTTTATCATAACCAAGGTGTTTTTCAAAGGGACGGTTGTAATGTAAACAAATGGTAAGTTCCTATAGGTATTATACACTTTGAATATTATAAAAATCTTCGTATTTTACAAAAAAAATTTGTATGGTCTTATTACTTATTTTGTTTTTATCGAAAACGAGGTGTTTTTCTTAACATATTTTGTTTTGCAGTTGTTTTTGTAATAAAATGTTTAACCTATTTTTTTTCTTCATGGTAGCATCTTGATGTTTTAATAATTATATATATATATATATAAATATATTATGTTTAAAGATTTGAATATTCGAATAGTTGTATAATAATATACATTTCAAACTAGATTGTAATTCCTACTTTTATCGATATCCAATAATGTACAAAACCTAATTATAATTATTTTTATAATATAACTGGGTGCTATGATATTTTAGCTTTTTATTTTCACGGTTTTTTTTTTGGTATTTTGAGTATTTTACTATGATACATGGTTCTTCTAAGCAAGAAAATAAACAGTTCAAACATTGAAGTACACAAATAACATAACAAAATACTTTTAAAACTAACTTGTTTACGAAAAAAAACTATAATATTTCTGTAATAGCAGTTTTCGATAAGATAGATAATAAAATTATAGCAATAGTTGAAAAAATATTGTATATTATAATGTAAGAAAATAAGTCGTTAACAATTTGTGTAAACATAAGGTTGAAATAAACTTTATAACGCAAGTCATTATAAACTTATAAGGGATCTGCTTTTATTTTTATGACTAAAAGGGTGAAATATCATTATTTATATTATTATGTTGTAATGAATTGATAAAAAACTTATTAAGATTTTAGGTGTCTTTGTTGAGATATACAAAGTTTGGGAAAAACACAGTTTTCCAAAAATTAAAAAAAATAAAAATCCAAAAAAAAAAAAAATACTTGCTCCTTCTAAGGGGTATGGGAAATGGGTAAAAGTTCTAACTTAAAAATTCGTATGGTTTTTTTTTCAAATTTTAATTGTAAAGAAGTAAACTTTTTCAACTTTTACCCACCCGAAGTACCAACTTGATAAAAATTTTTATTTATAGAGTTGCTACTCGAAGGAATTGTCCAGTATTAAAAAAGTTACAGTGTATACAGACAAAAAAAAAGCCCACATTATTGTTTAACCAATCCCCAACAAAAACCTTACAGTGAAAAAAGGCCAAGTTCCAGACCCCCTCCCAAAAAATGTCAGCCTATTAAAGTAGTAATATCTACATTGTGGCCAAGTCTGCTATTTTTTTAGTTCATATCCACACTTCACTCCTACTTTCATGAGCAGTGTTGATCTTTTATTTGTATTTCTTAACACTTGGCCAGTTTCTGAATTAAGCATTTGTTAGCTGGCTGACATTTTTGGGAGGGGGTCTGGAACTTCGTCTTTTTTTAATGTTAAGTTTTTGTTGGTGATATCATTTCTTTTTGAGGGCTTCAGTATCGTGGGCGAGGTTTTTTTTTATATGAAGCATTGAATGGATATTGTACGTCTTAGATTAATGCCCCACCTAGCGCATTAATTTTGAGAAATTTGCCATTTTCAGATTTTTACCTTTGCTTAAACTACAAGACCCACATTTGTGCCAAATTTCACGTTTCTACCTATACGGGAAGTGTCTTATAATTTTGATGATGACTGAGTGAGTAGTGAGTCAATAACAAAAATGAAAACTCTAGAAGAGGCTTACTATTAAGGGCTCACATTTTTACAGTATCTTGAGCTACTTGAGCTTAATCTATGTTTCAAATTTCAAAAGATTATCTTAAGAGTAAACAGGGATTAGTGGGTTAGAAAAACTGGGTGAATTAGTTCGTGCAAAGATACACTGACATTACTGGATCTTGGCCTGGCGCACTGCCGTGCGCTCAGATTAATTATTAAAAAATTACAATATTTTGTCTTATAAATAATTACTGGCCACACCCATGTATAATATTTTAGACCATCTTATTTGCATTCCAAAGCCGGGTAGCTATGATTTCCAAACTATATGCTTGCTACGTGAAAATGCGGTTAAGTAAATACAAAAAAATTGAAAAAATATGTAAAAAGACGTCATTGTAAAAAAAACACGGTAGTATAGCTCCGCATCGAAGCTAAAAAACACCTCAATAAATATTTGAAGGGCTGTGGGTAAAACCGGTCATAATCAGTCGCCAATTTTTTTTTAAATTTAGATTAATAAATAGAATTATTTTGTGCGTTATCTTATACTAAATCTCCGAGTCTTTTTGGAGTTCTGAAACTTTAAAACTGTAATACTAAATTTTAGACAGTGTCCTAAACTATTTAAGCTTAATTTAGGTTTGTTATATTGGTGAAACTACCAAAATCCACTTATAGATTTTATTAGAGGTATTTAGCTTTAGATTTTTACCTTTAGAGGTATTTTATTGACATTACATTGGTTTAGCAAAACAAATTCTAGTGCTACAAACAACAAATAAAACCCGTCGCTGTAAAACATTTGTTTTCAAAAATGTATTATTTGATCAAAATAAACACCGTCTATTTTGTTTGTTCACATGATAACATGTTCACAAAAAACAACTCTTGTACAAAAACAGTCTACTTAATCGTCAATAACAAATGTTATAAATATCGGTAACAAAATAGCATTATTATAATATACGTGTTATTCTTCGAAAACTCACTAAGAAACCAAGTACTGTACAGCATTTTAAAACCTTTTATTTTTGTTCCGTTCGATTCAAGACTTTAAAGAAGAAACAATGAACGCCAAGTACATACTATCGTTATGTTTCGTAATGAATTACTTAGTAATTCTAAGTGTTGCGAACCCAGAGAAAGAGGTAACTGTAATTTGTACCTTTGTGTTAAAAGGCAGTATAAATCTTATAAATTTGAATTGTTTTTTTTTTTTTAATATTGTTATTGATTGCAAACTAATGTAATAGGCAAATTTCTTTGTTGTTTCTTTATAAAATAATTGTTAAAATACAAACGAAAACACATATTAATTTTCAAACTTGACAATTTTAGTACAAACATTTTAGAAAAAAAAATATTCATAATTCATAAGGCACTATTTATTATTTAAAAATTATGAATTACTTTCAATTCGCTAATTTAATAAGAGGTTTATTATGAATTCATTTTTTTTCTAATAATTTTATACTAGAATTATCATGTTTTTATCAATATTTTTTATACATGCATAACTAAATAGTAGTCAGTAGTAACATTTTTTAATTACAATTAAAGTCAGCTGGTAAGTTTTTTTTTTGTAATAGCCTTTATTGTAACTATTTTTTTCACTGTACAAATACTTAATTATTGAGTAACTTACAAATAATACAAAGTGAGATGAAGTATGTGAGATTTTATATGTAAGGAGAACTAGAATATAATAATATAATCTCAGAAGATTTTAGACTTATAGTTGAATTTTTTTTCAAAACCTTGTTAATGGTTATAACGCTTAAATCGACATCGATTTTAAGATATTACGTTGTATTATCCTAGACGTTTTTAATGACAGGTTTCGACATTTTTCAGATTATGCAAACCGTTTTCAATGAATTATTAGAGTATTTAGATTTTCCTAATACTAATACAGTTTTTGTGAATGACATAAACACGCTTTTGCACGATGGAGGTGAAACTATAAAAACTAATTATTCTGCCGATGAAATTGCACAAATGAATAACGGTAATCATAAAATTTATTAACTCTATCGTGTTATTAACAATAGCTTTCTTTGGTTTCGAGGGACCTTTATTTGATGCAGTTGGTTTCTGGTTCTGCAACTACGGTTTACACTCTTATAACAATATAATTTGTAGGTATATTATAATTATTGTTCGTTTTTGTATCGTTTTAGACGGCATAGATGTAAACAAATTTGAAGAAATCACCAAGAAAGCTTACAAAACAGACTATGTAAAATCCATGAATGAACGGTTTTTGTTTATAAAAGCCCAAAACAAACCAATTAAGCAAACTCCAAGATTGTAAAAGAAATCGTTTTTTTGTTTTTGAAATAAAAACTATATTTTATGAAATATGTAGTCTAGTTATTGTATCCGGTCCTTTTTAATTAAATTATTAAATTAAGAAAATGTTAAGAACTGAGTAAGAATTTGTAATAATAGTTTTTTTTTTAATTGTGTACCGAAATGTAACAAAAAGATTTTTAAACATTCTGAGTCTTGTATTTTGTTGCTCTTCCTATACGTTTATTTTTTCGGATGATTATCTAATGTGGATATTTTTGTTTGCATTTGTTTACACAACATTTCGTTTCTTTACACCTACAGTTTAAATGAAGGCATTGCAATTTTTTTATGACATCTTCATTTAATTTCAAAAGTTACATAAGTAATATTATTGTTGTATTTACAATTGGCCTCGTTGGCCAGTTAAACAATTTAATTGAGACATTATAATTCAACTAAAAATGTACACTTAATTGTCCCTCAGCAGTAATGCGACTCACAGCGTAGACTAGAAATAAGTAATAAAATATAAATTCAACGCAGGATGATTTATATAATCTAAGGGTATTAGTGAGTTAGTTTCAGAGTAACATTAAAAACATTTGTGATAACTAGATCAAGTTGTGACCCCAGACCCTGAGCGATTGTGTATTCATATAAGTTGCATATGATTTCAATACCATAGCCCAGCTAAAATATTTGCAAGCGGGAATTATTATTTTTTAATCTAGGATCGTGTCTGAAAAACAATGAACAATGAACCAGTTATAAAAAAAACATCTGTGTGCACAAATCCTATGATAGTGTGAGTGCACACAAAAAGACAAAGTCTGAAAGCAATTGCTTTGTACATTGAAAATTCTAATAAGACATCTATTTTAAAAATGTAACATAAATTCGTACATTATTCATTTTAAGATTTACATATTATATGATGTACAAATATTCAATAATGGGTTAAAAAAGTCAGCCCAGTGGGGTTGAGACAAAGGCTCAGACTTTTCTGTGTAAATATTTATCGTATGAATTATCAATTTGTGTAGATTAGATTGTTGTTGATAGTTGTACACCAGGTTGTGGATATCAACTGATCAGAACCCGTATAATCTATTAAACGTTTTGACTCATAAAATTGAAAAATTCCTAAAATAAAAATTAAATTAAAAACTGACAAAAATAATATTTCCAACGAAGTAGAACCTAAAAAATTACTACTATTTTTAAATACACATTCATGTGAGTGAGAAGCATAAAAGCCGTAAGAAGCAGTGGAGGTATTATTTGAATCAAGATAGGTATTTGTTAAAACGACTAGAGGAATATTCGGTAAGTATGTTAAGGGGGCCTCTACATCTGTGTATATTTGGTCGAAAACCACTCATTCTAATTCAAATACACTGTTTTTAAGAATACTCCGATTTAAGCTTTGAAAAAATATTTGAGTTCTTCAAAACATTTATAGGGCATTAGCCGTGGCACAATTTTAAAAATTATTTTCAGTTAATTAATTATTTCACTTGAAAAATTTTAAAAATTGCATTAAAAACTAAAGTCGATATGTTCTTAAGGACAGTACGTTTAAAAGTTGAAAAAAAAAAATTATCAAAATAGATATTTCTTTTCTATGGTAATATGTATGTCTTACAATTTTAGCGAAAAATTGCCTGTACAATGTCTGTAAAATGTATAATTATAAAACTCTTACAATTTAGAAAAATGAAAACCCTGATGTTAAAAAATTAAAAATAGGGTTTTCAATTATAATTTATATTTTGCCCATTATTGGATACAACTATACAAGTGATGGGAATCGTTTGATTATCAATAATTATTAATTTAAAAATTGTATTTTTCTTTTAGTGGAACAACTTTGTATTAAATTTAAATTTTTTTTAGAAGACACTTATCACACGAAATCGCGGGGGCGGCTGTCCATCACTACAATGTTATTTTAAGATTAATGGTGTACGTGTAACGACAAAAAAAAGCCCACATCATTCTAAAACCAATAGCATCTTTCCTGGATTTTTGTGTAAAATACTTCAAAAGTGATCAAAATTTTATGTGTTTGGGGTCGGTGATTGCGAATTTGTTGATATCAATTTACAATTTTACTTAGCCAAAAAAAAAACAAGTAAGAAAAAAAATTAAATTAAAACCTAAAAATGGCATTTGAGTATGAAAACCTAATACTATCATTATGAATAAATGTATATAAAAATGTCGTAATGAATTGATACATTTTTTTTATATTTAAGGTGTATATGTTAACGTATACAAAATCTGGGAAAAACACAGTTATCTGGCAATTAAAGTAAAACAGTAGTCTCGAATTTTTTCTCCGTTTAATACGTTATGGATACATATTCGTTCTAAATACTGACAAATTTTCGACAAAACGTCATTAAAATACGGCTAAAAAAAAATTTGCACACTGACCCCCCCCCCCTCTAGGGGGATGGGAAATGCGTGGGCATACCAAATAAATATTCCATACAAATTTCAACTTGATCTGTCTCTTTTTCTTGAAATTATAGCCAGTAAAAGTTCTAACTCAAAAACTCATATTCTTTTTTCAAACTTTAACTGTAAAGAAATAAGCTTTTTCAACTTTAACCCGGGAGGGAGGGGGCTCCTCTTCAAAGTACTAACTATGACATTTTTTTTTTTATATTTGCTACTCGAAGGAATTGGTCCAGTATTAAAAATTACAGTGTATGCAGACAAAAAAAAAAGCTCACATAATTGTGAAACCAATAGCATCTCTGCTTCACATCAAAGCTACACATGACTACTATTTTTAAAAATAATGTGGATTTGATAAATTTATCACTCAGCAGGCGACTAAGTTTTCAAATAATTCTAATAAGTCTAATAAGTCTAATTAAAATGCTGGGAAAAAAAACAAGTTGAAAATGATAAACTAAAAATTACAGCCTAAGGATGTGAGAAGAAAAATTTTAATTCAGTATAAGACATATGTTTAGTCATATCAGGTGGGGGTTTAAACTTTTTATTAAGTTAAGACAAAGCGTGGTAAAACATCTTAGGGTGATATGCGAGTATAAAAGCTGGCAAAAAAAAGGCAGAATTTGATAAGCCAAATTCCATTTCAATTATGAGAGTTATAGACTTTTGAATGTAAGATAAAGTAATTGCAATTGTCAATAATTGCTCTGCCTCATACACCAAAAACGTAGTTTGGGTAATATTTTGTGTCCAGACAAAAATAATGAAAAAAAAAAACATAATATTGTAAAAACAACATTTTAGTCAAACCCAAATAACGGGGTTATTTTTTTCCCCCCAAATTTAAAAGAAAATGTTTTACGATTTGTGAACAAGATATTTTACTTGATATTACATTGGTTTTGCAAAACAAATTCTAGTGCTACAAAAAATAAATAAGACCCGTCGTTGTAAAACCTTTTTTTTTTTTAAACGTATTATTTGATCAAAATAAACACCGTCTATTTTGTTTGTTTACATGATAACATGTTCACAAAAAACAACTCTTGTACAAAAACAGTCTACTTAATCGTCAATAACAAATGTTATAAATATCGGTAACAAAATAGCATTATTATAATATACGTGTTATTCTTCGAAAACTCACTAAGAAACCAAGTACTGCACAGCATTTTAAAACCTTTTATTTTTGTTCCGTTCGATTCAAGACTTTAAAGAAGAAACAATGAACGCCAAGTACATACTATCGTTATGTTTCGTAATGAATTACTTAGTAATTCTAAGTGTTGCGAACCCAGAGAAAGAGGTAACTGTAATTTTTACCTTTGTGTTAAAAGGCAGTATAAATCTTATAATTTGAATTGTTTTTTTTTTTTAATATTGTTATTGATTGCAAACTAATGTAATAGGCAAATTTCTCTGTTGTGTCTTTATAAAATAATTGTTAAAATACAAACGAAAACACATATTAATTTTCAAACTTGACAATTTTAGTACAAATCGAATTGAAAAGTAATTCGCTAATTTTATAAGAGCATTCATTAAATATTTTTTTAAATACTATGAATTATCATTTTGCAAATGAATTAAAATAAGTTTATTAATGATTAACTAGTAGCAACATGTTTAAGTACAATTAATGTCATCAAGTAACTATTTAACAATTATTTGTTTTATTGTACGAATAACTAATTGATTGAGTAGCTTACAATTATGTAGGATGTACAATTATGAAGTCAGCGTACGTTTTTTTTTTGTAATCAGTTTTTAAAGCCATAATTTTTAAATGAAAACTATACTTATAATGTTCATATGGGACAAAAATTTATGAGAGTCATTACTGTATTTTTTTTTTCTTACGAATAATACAAAGTGAGATGAAGTATGTGAGATTTTATATGTATAGACTAATATAGATCTCAAGATATTTAAACTAATAGTTGAATTTTTTTAATCTTGTTAATGTTTATAACGCTTAAATCGACATCGATTTTAAGATGTTACGTTGTATTATCCTAGACATTTGTAACGACAGGCTTTGACATTTTTTCAGATTGTACAAGCCGTTTTCGAAAGAATTAGGAGAGTTTGTTAAACTGTCCTGATGCTCCGACAATTTTTGTGAATGAGATAACCGTGCTTTGGCAAGACGGAGGTGATACTATGAGAACTCTTTATTCTACAGAGGAAATTGAAAAAATGAATGAAGGTAATCATAAAATATATTAACTCTATCGTGTAATAATAGTTTTCTTTGGTTTCGAATCACCATGTTTTGATGCATTTGGTTTCTGGGCAACTCTGCAACTACTGTTTACACTCTTATAACAATATAATTTGTAGGTATATTATAATTATTGTTCGTTTTTGTATCGTTTTAGACGGCATAGATGTAGAAAAATTTGAGGAAATCACCAGGAATATTTACCCAAGTACGGACTATGTGAAAAGTATGAATGAACGGTTACTTGGTTTTACAAGCCATGAACAAATCAGGTAATAAGCCTGCAAAATTGTAAAAGAAAATGTTTTGTTGTTTTTGAAATAAAAACTATATTATATGAATTATGTAGTCTAGTTATTGTATTCGGTCCTTTTCATCAAATTATTAAATTAAGTAAAATGTTAAGAACTGAGTAAGGATTTGTAATAATAATTGATGTTTTTTTTTATTTTTTAAATACTGTACCGAAATGTAACGAATAAATGTTTAAACATAAACAGATTTTATAAACATTCTGAGTCTTGTATAGGTCTGTTAGTACAATCATAGTGAGCATTTTCTAATAATGTTTATTTTTCGGATGACATGATCTAATGCATTGATCCTGTTCTCCCCGTATTACGAGTCTCCATACACGCGTGTATATTCTTGTTGTATTCACAATTATTATGTAATACTAACAGAATGCCTCGTTGGCCAGTTATTAAATTTAATGCAGACATTATAATTCAACCAAAAATGTACACTAAATCGACACTCAGCAGTAATGTGGCGAGTTACAGCATAGACTAGAAATAACTAATAAAATAGAAATTCAACGACTAATGCAGGGTGATACATATAAACTAAAGGGTATTAGTGAGTTAGTTTCAGAAGCAACATTTAACATTAAATACATTTGTGATAACTAGATTAAGTTGTGACCCTGAATGATTTTGTATTCATATACGTTGCATAATATGATTTCAATACCATAGTCCAGCTAAAATATTTGCTAGCGGGAATTATTATTTTTAAAACTATGATCATGTCTGAAAAAACAATAAAACAGTGTAGTAGTTAAAAAAAACATCTGTGTGCACAAATCCTATAATAGCGTGTGTGCACACAAAAAGCCAAAAGTCTGAGAGCAATTGCTTTGTACATTGCAAATAATAATAGGACATTTATTTCAAACAAGTAACAGAAATTCGTACATTATTTATTTAAAATTGAATTTACACATGTTATGTACTAATAATCAATAATTCGAGACAAAGGCACAGACTTTTCTGAATAAATTTCATGTTTATACTATCAATTTGTGTACATTCGATTTTTGTTGATAGCTGTACACAGGGATGTGGGTATGTATTGATCAGATCAAATCTATTAAATGTTTTGTCTCAGAAAATTAATAAAATCCTAAAAAAACAAATTCATTAGAAACTGACAAAAATAATATTTCCAACAAAAACTAGCAAAGATAACGTGTCGTTTTTCCGACGACTGTTGCGATTTAAATAAATCACAACTCCTCTAAGTATCGTATACTTATAATTTTTAACGACTTAAGAACATGATTTACATAATTTTTAATCTAAATAAGTAAAGAAAGAAATTGGCTACAATTCTTATCAAACATATTCTAACACAATCTAACATAATTTTTATTATTACATTATTGCTGAAAAAAATGTACTAGCTAGGTTCGTTATGTATAATATGTGTTAAATACAAATTTAAAAATTCGTCAATAATAATTATTCTAACATCAGAGTTCTGCAATGCAAGAACATATAAATAGTTAAAACATACATAAATGATAAAACAAAATACTTTTAATTGTATGTATTCCACTTTATTTGTATTGTATCTTAAAGCATATTTTACTATTCACATGTATGTATATTAAAACTAATAAATTGCCTCGTTGGCCAGTTATAAAATTTAATTCAGACATATATAATTAAACTGAAAATGTACACTTAATTGTCACTCAGCAGTAATGCGAGTTTAGCATAGACTAAAAAGAACTAATAAAATATAAATTCAACGACTAATGCAGGATGATACATATAAACTTAGGGTATTAGTGAGTTAGTTTCAGAAGTAACATTAACATTAAAAACATTTATTAAAACTAGATCGAGTAGTGACCCCAAAAAACTGAGCGATTGTGTAGTATTTGACGAAATTGCATACTTCATTATAGCCACATTCTAGATTTAATTTTGGTCAAACTATAAGCTCTAAAACATTTTTCTGGAATTTTGTGTAAAAGACTTCAAAAATGATAAAATTATATTATGTTTTCGGGGTCGGCAATTGCGAATTTGTTACCAGTTTTCAATTAAACTCTGCCAAAATAACTTAAGTAAAAAAAAATTAAACCTAAAACTGGTACTTGAGTGCTAAAAACTTAATAAGATCATTCTAAATAGATGTCTATAAAAAAGGTTGTCATGATTCGATAATATATTTTTAAGTTTTAAGGTGTTAATGTTAAAATATACAAAATCTGCGAAAACACAGTTTTCCGACAATTAATGAAAAAAACTGTAATCCCGAATGTTTTGTTCGTTTAATATGTTAAAGAGACATATGAGAAAAAAAAATAAACACAACTAGATGAAATTTGTGATTTATAGAGTTGCTACTCGAAGGAATTGGTCTAGTATTAAAAAACACTGTTGTGTATACAGACAAAAAAAAAAACCCACATCATTGTAAAACTAATCACATCGCTGCTCCGCATCGAAGCTGAAATAAAGTGATATTTTTCGAGCCATAATTATTAAGGCAATTACGGCCAATTAAGGAAAACGAGGGAAGTTTTTACCTCTTCTTGGGAAGAGGGTTAATGATGATTTCATGGGTTTTGCATTGTACACGATTAGAACAATCTATTCCGAAAAAATTTGAAACTAATTTAGTTATTTTGAAAAAGCTGTTTACCCTCTCTTAACCCCCTAGCGTTTCCTTTATTTTCCTTAGCTCATCTCACTTTCATTTCTCGGCGTACTAAATCGGTTCAGAGGGTTAGCACGTATTGTAGGTAAATCAAAACACACCATTGTACCAGCAACAACACCTTGTCAGCTTCGCGTCGAAGCCAAATTTTACTGTGTTAAATATTTTTTTTACTACCGCAATCGATAAAATCATGACAATGCAGAGACACGGGCGTCGCGTCGGCCTTTTCATAATTAATTATGTTTATTTTAGAATCTATTGTTAGAAACGAAAAAAAAAGAAAAAGTAAAATATCTTCAGGCAAGACATATTCAAAAAATATTGCGAAGATACCACTGCACCGCATTGGTACTAATTGTCGTTGGTCTCGCAGAAAAGAGCAAACCGTTTTAGTAGGTAACATAATCATTTTGTGTTATTCTAAAAATATTAAAAAACAAATTTAGGAGATTAATATTAAAAAAAATATATGGAGATTCCGATACTAAGTATGAACAATCGGACTGGAATGAAAAAGGCAAACCGGCCGACTATCATTCCCGAATCGTTAACGAAACTGGCGCGCACCGCTCTGATCTATCCGGTGAGGTTCGTCGGGTCGACGGCCACCGGCGCAGTCGAGTTCAGTCCGACGCTCTATGCGTTCAACGGACTGGTGGTGATGGCGGCGGTGGTTTGCGGCTACTGGTCGTTGCTGGGCGAACTGATGTCGTTCCGAAAGGGTCAGTCCGTGCGGTTCGAGAACGTCCCCGTCGCGGTGGTCGCGTGCTGCAGCTACACTATGTTGGTATTGCCCAGCGTTATAGCCGTGTTCGGGTCGGCGTCCAGGTACGCGGCGTGGCTGGACGTCAAACGGTTGGTGGACCGCGTGGACGAGGCCCTCGACGTCCGCGCCTGTACGGTGGCCGACAAACGCGTCGAGCGGTGTGCCGTCTGGATGGTTCGGCTTCAAATGATGGTTTGCGCCGCCGATTACTGCATCTGGTTAACGTTCAATCCGTCTAACAAGAGCTACGGAGTAGTCTACCTGTTTCACTACGTCAACCTGGTGTCGTTGGCCGTATACGCGCAGTTGGCTTGGTGCATAGGTCTACGGTTCGACAATGTCAACCGCGAGATCGAGGCCAAGCTCGAACGGTTGACGTCGACGAACCGCGTCGAATTCGCAAATCGCCGCTGTCACAACTTGTCTTATTTACTCCGTTGCTCTGACAATCGAATTAAAGGTGAGTTTGTTTTACATTGGGACGATCTGGAACCCTTTCACTGTTCCAGACAGTGATTATTTTTCTATGAACTAGAGTGTGCATAATTTATTAGTATTATATTTAAGTGTATACCGCGGTATTTTGGGATCCAGTTGCTAACTTAAATACCTTCAAAATATTGACAAAACTTTATAAATTCGAAGCCCCCTAAAAAGTTTCTAATAAATTAAGAAAATTGAGATAAGTAAAAGAAAATTTGAAGTACATTAATTAAAAATCCTAGACCCACAAGGGTTGAAGTTAAAATGGAATTTATCATAGGGTTCCCGACACTTCGAAATCAATGCATAACTTATTTCCTACGCCGTAGTTTGAAACTGGTGTATTTATTTTATTTAATGTACTCGAGGAATGCCACTTGGGCTAAAACTTTATTATTTTTTGAGTTCATTGTATCAAAACTTTTAGTAAAAATACAAAAATTAGTATACTCAACTAAGACAGTAAAAATGTGCTAAATGGATGGCGCTAAGTCTAAATTATAATCTTACACTTACATGTGGTTTTTTTGTTGATTAAAATTAAATCGTTAAACTTATACAACTTATCAAATCAAAGTGTTTATTTGAAAGTGATTTTTGTTATATTTAAATAATAATAATTTCTGAAGACCTCCAATTTTTACACTTAGTTCCAATAACAAAACTAAATTTTGATGTACCTAAAGTGTACCTTCTACATTACTGTCAACTGCGTTCAGCTATTGTGAACAAAAATTAATACCATTTTTTTTTAATTTCTACGCGTTTTAATTTCAGATGTGAAATATATTTCTATTAAAAAATTTCAAGAAATTCACTGGAGTCTTTGCTATTGTGTCAACATTTTAAATCACCAATACGGATGGCAACTATTAACGAGCTTATTGCTGAACGTAATAAATCTTATAGTCTTCCCGAATATCCTACGAATAAGAATTGCGAATACTGTGCCACATGGACCACTCCACTATGGATTTCTCATTATCTATGTTGTTTGGGTTTTTTGTCTTCTATCTACGTTACTATTGATGATGCTGCCCTCGTCGTACGCTGCTTCAAAAGTATTTTAGAATTCGACGCAATTCTAAGACATATCGATGTAACCATTGCTTTATTGTTTTTCACAGGCCGAAAGCACAGCCGTCAGTGTATGCAAATATCTTAACGTTTATCTCGCACCGGACGACATGAAACAGGTATTTTCAAAGTATTAAGAAATTAGAAAATAAATTAATTTTCCTCGATACTTGGGTAGGTTGTGGAAAATAACGTCCAGCCTGCAACTGGAAATGAAATGATAAAAGGAGAAAAAAATTCTCAATTCTGTTTTTTTATGAGCAGAGAAATAAAACTTGGTATTTTAAGAAAAACATACATTTGTTTATGATTTATGGCTGGTCCATCTATAGATAGCGTCATCAATTATTTTCTACCGTTTTGCCAACAGTGATAAAACAAGACAGCTGATAATGGTTTCTGATAAGATATATATAACAAGAGTTTAGTGACAAAAAAGAAAAGGAGTTGAGATTGTAAAATGAGAGAGAGGAGGAAAGGAGATGTAACAGGAACACCCGCCGGTGATAAGGATGACCCAACAACACATCCTTGAATAACTTCATTCATTGTTTTTTTATAAGGGTTAAGAAAATGTAATTTTTTTTCTATTTTACCTTAAATATTTTATTTTACTACATTACTGTCCTTTTTTGAATAAAATATTATTCGGTTATACATTTGTAGGATATAATTAACGCTTAATTATTTTTTGTTGTATGTATTATAGTTTGAACTATTTGTACTTCAATAAAGTGGACAAAATGTTAATTTCTTTTGCATTTTGCCTACATTTTTTTAGACTAAATATTTTTTATATAATAAACGCTTACTTAGTTTTGGTCGTATGTGTTACAGTTAGAACTTTTTGTACTTCAACTGTACAAGCATAAGGTACGTTTTTCAATATGTGGAGTCGTGGATTTACAAATATCTACATTAACAAAAGTAGGCGTTTACTGTTTTTTTAGAATTTATATAATATTGATTAAATTAAATTAGATAACCGACAAGTAAGAAAACAGTTCCATAAAGGTGGATTGTAGACTTGCATTTATAAGTTTAATTAGACACGTTATTTGGACACACCTAAGACGGATGAATTATAATTCATTTTCAGATGATTGGGACTATCATTACGTATTTGCTGATTTTCATTCAATTACAAAACAAGTGAACGCAGGATTTCAAATACTTATACCAACCTATAACAAACAAAACATTGTACATAATATTTAGTATAGGTTCAATTTAATATTCATGTAAACAATATATTTTATGTTAGGTGCACAATTACTTCATATAAATTCAACTAATTTAAAGTACTAATGTAACATTGTTAGTGTTTAAAAAAATAAATTGTTGTGCAGCAAAACTATTTTAAATTGTGTATTTCAATTGTATTAATATACTACGGATATTAATAATTTATAAAATGTCTATGTTTGTATGTTTGAAAGAATTATATTTCAAGGATATATCCATTAATGGGCATTGTTTTTTATTATAACCTATAAACTATTATTAAAAAGTAAAACTAAAAACGGACACAACGTCGACCTTTTCAGAATTTATTGTGTTTATTTTGCAATCTATTGTTTTACATAAGAAAAAATAAAAAGTTTTCAAACAGAAAATGTAAGTATATAATATATTGCGAGGATATCACTGCAACTCGTGCACACGCGTAGTTTACTACTTCCCGTTGGTCTTGCGGAACGAGCAAACTGTTATTAGACAATAAAAAATTGTTTTTATTATTATATAAATATTAAAAAACAATTTAACACCCGGGTTCCATATTCATATTAAAAGAAAACTACATAGATCATGTCGGTTCCAATCCTGAATATGAGCAACCCTACCTCTATGAAAAAGGGTAAACGGCCAACTCTTATTCCTGAATCGTTGAAGAAAATGGCGCGGACCGCTCTGATCTATCCGGTGCGGTTTGTCGGATCGACGGCGACCGGCGGCGTCGAATTCAGTCCGATGCTCTATGCGTTCAACGGGCTGGTGGTGATAGCGGCGGTGATTTTCGGCTACGTGTCGTTGCTGGGCGAACTGATGTCGTTCCGTAAGGGTCAGTCGGTGCGGTTCGAGAACGTCCCCGTCGCGGTGATTGCGTGCTTCAAATTCACCATGTTGGTGTTGCCCAGCGTTATTGCCGTGTTCGGGTCGGTGTCCAGGCACGCCGCGTGGCTAGACGTCGAGCGGTTGATGGACCGTGTGGACGAGGCTCTCGACAGCCGCAGCTGTGCGGCGGTCGACAAACGCGTCGAACGGTTGGCCTTGTGGGTGATTTGTCTTCAAGTGGTGATGTTCGCAGCCGACTACTGTACCTGGCTAACGATCAATCCGAACAACAAGAGCTACGGTGTAGTCTACCTGTTTTCCTACATTAATGTGGCGTCGTTGATTATCTACGCACAGTTGGCGTGGTGCATAGGTCATCGGTTCGACGTTGTCAACCGCAGGATCGAGGCCACGCTCGAACGGTTGACGTCGACAAACCGCGTTGAATTCTCAAATCGTCAATGCCAAGACTTGTCGTATTTACTTTACTGCCTTGAGAATCGAGTTAATGGTGAGTTTGTTGAGTTTTATATTGGGATGGTCCTCAACCCTTTCACTGATCCAGACGTACCATTACATATTCAACTGTAAGACCTTTTTGTAACGACTATTAGGCATGCAAGCGGTGTTAAGGTTCAATGGTACAAATTTTACTTTCACCATTTTTAGAAGATGTGTGTATTAAACATTATATAAATGTATATATATATATATATATATATTTAAAATTTAATGGAGAATATTATGTGTTATTCGGTATTTTGTCCTGTTATTAAATATACCTGAGGATTGCTGCTTAGAATTAAGGCTAGAAATAAAATATTGGAACTAATTCGTAAGTTAAGTGTCTCATAACTTTTGGTAACAATAGGAAAACTAATAAGTGTTTATTTGAAAATTATTTTATAATATAATAACAATTTTTGAAGACATGTGCCCTCCACTCTTTAAAACAATGCAATAAGATGCAATTTGTTTGTTTTACAAAAAAAAAAAAAATTAAATTAACTATAGTGTGTTCGGTAGACTTTTTTAAAACCCTTTCACCTTTTACTGCGTATACTAAGTGTAACAATCAATCATCACCATCTTAAGTGTTTTAACGATACACGATTTTATTTCAGACATTAAATTATATATGCCTATAAAACAAATTCAAGAAATTCACTGGAATCTTTGCTATTGTGTCAACATTTTAAATAACCAGTACGGATGGTATCTGTTAACAAGTCTACTGCTGAACATAATAAATTTGATAGCCTATCCGAATATCCTGCAATCAAGAATTTCGAATAAGGCGTTGCTTGAGCCATTGAAATATGGATTTTCAATTGTTTCCACTGTTGAGTTATTTTGTTGTCAACTAGCAAATTTATTTTTGATGGTGTTGCCTGCGTCGTACGCTGCCTTGAAAGTATACAGTAGAATTCAACAACATACAAGAATACATTGAAATAACGGTTGCTTAACTGATTTTTACAGGCCGAAAGCACAGTCATCAGTGTATGTAAATATCTTAACATTTATCTGGTGCCAAACGACATGAAACAGGTATTTTGAAAGTGGTAAAAAATTTAAAAAATGAACAAAAATTCTCCTCAGTTCTTAAGTAGGTTGTAGAAAATAACGATCGGTCAATCCACAATAAATATATAATTAACTTCTCCAGTTTCAAATAAATATAAAAATATATATTTTTTAAAAATTAATCTAATGAAAGTGAGATTTAAAAATAAAATATTTTTAGATTGGATTGTTTTCTCACTACATTTGTATTATTTACGGAAATAGAACTACTATGATTATCTAATAGACGCTTTTTTATTTAGTCCTATGTGTTACAGTTGGAACTATTTTTACTTCAATTGAACCAGCATAAGGTATGTTTTTCAATTTTTGGAATTGTGGATTTACGACGATCTACAATAACAAAAGTAATTATACAATAACAATTATACACTGTTTATTTTTATTGGTATAAGTTAAGGCAGACTAGCGTTGAGTAAGAGAAGTGAATTCGGCAAGAGTATTTACTATAAAGTTACCTTGTTATGATAACGATAAGAATTACATTTTGTGATCTCCAAACTAAGAGGCTCCAAGGTTTTTATACTTAATTGAAATGAACAATCTTGCATTATCCTAAATAGTTTACCATCTAGGGGGAATATAGACTTGCAAATTAAATTGGCACACTTAAGGCGGAACAGTTATGATTGAAAAATAATTAACACTTGAATGGGGTATTATATTTACACTATTTACACACCCTTGCCTAGGCGACCCCGGTCGAGAGAATCAAATAGGAGTAATATCAATGTGTGTAAATAGTATAAAGTTATGATTGTTTTTCAGGTGATTGGGACTACCATTTCATATTTCCTGATTTTCATTCAATTACAAAACACGTACTAAATATTCAAGATAACAATGTATTTTAAGTACTGCATACAAGTACTTTATGTAAATTCAAAACGCAATTAAGTACTAATTCAATGTTATTGGTTCTTTTTAGTATTTAAAAAAATAAAGTTTTGTGCAGTAAAACAGTTTAAAATTGTGTATTTGAATTATATTTTTATCATAATCATATACTGCTATAATATTATTAATTTTTAGAATATTTTTTCTTCTATGCTTTGGTCAATCATGCAATATTTTATACAAAAAAAATAATGATTAACGTTTTTGTTCTACTGCGTCTTCTCTTTAAGTATTAAACATGCTGACATTTTTTTTTTAGTATTCTTTTAACGATTTATTTTTTAAGGCCTATCCTTAAAAAAAAGGCCTTCGGTTTCAAGCTAGATCACCCCACCTTAAGCAACCAACTATTTTATTTCGATAGTTTGAAACAGTAGTATGACAAAACATATGGTATGTCCTTCCAAAGTCTATAAAGCTTTATTATTATTAATAAAAATTATATATACAATTTTCGTTACGGCAATCGATAAAATTATGACAATTCAGGGACACAACGTCGACCGTTTCAGAATTATATGTTTATTTTAGAATCTATTGTTTCAAAAAAAAATAAAAATATAAAGTTTTCAAACAGGAAATAGAAGTATAACAGATATTGCAAGGATATCACTACACCCCGTGCACACATGTAGTTTACTACTTACCGTTGGTCTCGTGGAATGAGCAAACCGTTATTTCAATAAAAAAAACTATTTTGTTATATAAATACTGAAAACATTATAGGAGATTCGTATTAAAAGAAAATTAAATAGATTATGTCGGTTCCGATACTAAATATGAACGATCCTACCGTAAAGGAAAAAGCAAAACGGCCGACTCTTATTCCTGAATCGTTGAAGAACATGGCGCGGACCGCTCTGATCTATCCGGTGCGGTTTGTCGGATCGACAGCGACCGGCAGCGTCGAGTTCAGTCCGATGCTCTATGCGTTCAACGGGCTGGTGGTGATAGCGGCGGTGATTTGCGGCTACGGATCGTTGCTGGGCGAACTGATGTCGTTCCGAAAGGGTCAGTCGGCGCGGTTCGAGAACGTCCCCGTCGCGGTGGTCGCGTGCTGCAATTACACCGTGTTGGTGTTGCCCAGCGTTATAGCCGTGTTCGGGTCTGTGTCCAGGCACCGCGCGTGGCTGGACGTCAAACGGTTGGTGGACTGCGTGGACGAGGCTCTCGACGTCCGCGCCTGTACGGTGGCCGACAAACGCGTCGAGCGGTGTGCCGTCTGGCTGGTTCGTCTTCAAATGATAGTTTCCGCAGCCGACTACTGCATCTGGCTAACGTTCAATCCGTCTAACAAGAGCTACGGAGTAGTCTACCTGTTTCACTACGTCAACCTAGTGTCGTTGGCCGTGTACGCACAGTTGGCTTGGTGCATAGGTCTACGGTTCGACATTGTCAACCGCGAGATCGAGGCCAAGCTCGAACGTTTGACGTCGACGAATCGCGTGGATTTTGCAAATCGCCGCTGCCACAACTTGTCTTATTTACTGCGTTGCTACGACAATCGAATCAAAGGTGAGTTTGTTATAGCTGTTTGAGTTTTACATTAGGATGGTCCTCAATCCTTTCACTGTTCCAGACAGTTTATTTATATAACCTTTTAACAACGATTTTTATGAAAAGTCAAAGAATACAATGGTACATTACAAAATATGTCCAAATAACATCAAAGTAGCTAAGTACAATAAAATAGATCTGGGGTTCCAAAGATTTAGTACCTACTTTATAAACCACTATCATTATCTAAATAAAAAATTATCGAACGCGTATACGCAACAATAACACTACATGACTATTTTTCTATGAACTAGAGTTTGCATAATTTATTTTTATTATACTTACATATTTAAATTTTTACCTCGGTATTTTGGGATCTAGTTGCTAACTTAAAATATACCTTTTACGTTCTTAAATATTGACAAAACTTTATAAATTCTTGACCTACATATAACTGTAATACAATAATCCAAAAAAGATTAAAAAATAAAATTGTTTGTAGCACGGAGAGGTCGTAGAGCATTTAATAGCTTAGCAGTGAAAGAGTTTACACTTTTTACACTTTGTTCCAATAAAAAAAACTCAATTTTGTTGTACCGGTAAAGTTTTATAAAACTATATCACCTTTCACTCCGTTCCGCTATTGTAAAAAAAAAACTTATCACTTATTTTTGAAATAACTACGTGTTTTAATTTCAGATGTGAAATATATTTCTATTAAAAAATTTCAAGAAATTCACTGGAGTCTTTGCTATTGTGTCAACATTTTAAACCACCATTACGGATGGCAACTATTAACGAGCCTATTGCTGAACATAATGAATCTAATAGTCTTCCCGAATATCCTGCGAACAAGAATTGCGAATACTGTGTCACTTGGACCACTCCACTACGGATTTGTCATTATCTATGTTGTTTGGATTTTTTGTCTCCTAGCTACGTTATTATTGATGGTGCTGCCTTCGTCGTACGCTGCTTCAAAAGTATTTTAGAATTCGACGCAATTCTAGAATATATCGATGTAACCATTGCTTTTTTGTTTTTCACAGGCCGAAAGCACAGCCGTCAGTGTATGCAAATATCTTAACGTTTATCTCGTACCAGACGACATGAAACAGGTATTTTCAAAGTATTAAGAAAATAGAAAAATTAAATAATTTTCCTCGATACTTGGGTAGGTTGTGGAAAAAAAGGTTTAGAGTGTAGCAGAGAAATAAAACTTGTTTTAAGAAAAACATACATTTTTATGTAATTTATGGCTGAGATGTATCTATGGATAGCGTCATTAATTTATTGCTACCGTTTTACCAACAGTGATAAAATAAGACAGCTAATAATGGTTTCTTATAAGAGTTTTGTCACTTAACTATACATCGTATCAGGAACCATTATTAGCTGAAAAAAGAGTTGAGATTGTTAAATGAGAGAGAGGAGGAAAGGAGATGTAACAGGAACACCCGCCTGTGATAAGGATGAGCGAAAAACATATCCTTGATTCATCGTTTTTCTATAAGGGTTAAGAAAATGTAATTTTTTTTCTAATTTAACTTAAATATTTTATTTTACAACATTAGTATCCTTTTTTGAATAAAATATAACTCGGATATAAATTATTAGGATATAATTAACGCTTACGTATTTTTTGTTGTATGTATTATAGTTAGAACTATTTGTACTTCAATTGCACAAGCATAAGGTACGTTTTTCAATATGTGGAGTCGTGGATTTACAAATATCTACAGTAACAAAAGTAGGTGTACACTGTTTTTTTTTTTAAATTTATATAATACAAGCTGTCCCGACCCAGGGTTGCCCGGGATTCCCATTCCCCTCTATTTCCACCCCCAGTCCAGATTCAACACCCGTTCCAACAGTTAAAAGCTTGCTCAGAATCGTGGTGCATAGAATCGGTCTGTTCCTTTAATCTTCGACCAATCGTTTGGGGGGCATAACATACAATTAATTATCATTCGCTCGAGTACCGTGGTTACTATGGTTACAAACAAAGTGTTCATTTTGGGTTAGCAACGGAAAATATTTCGTATTTAAAGTAGAAAGTTCGTGTTTGAGGGCACTCTTAGGGGTCGAATTTTCGAAAAGTACTATACCAGTTGGGTTTGCGGGAGTGTACTCAACAAGTTCCCAAAGTTTTATGGCGATCGGATGAATGGTGTACTAATGCCCAAAGGACAAACAGACAAACAGACTACCAGACATTAATTTTTATACTTATAGATTGATTAAGTTAAAGCAGATAACCGACAATATACAGTTCCATATAGGTGGATTGTAGACTTGCATTTATAAGTTTAATTAGACACACCTATGACTGAATTATAATTCATTTTCAGATGATTGGGACTATCATTACATATTTGCTGATTTTCATTCAATTACAAAACAAGTGAACGCAAAATTTCAATTACTTTCATACCTATAATTTAAAAAAAAATGTATATATCTATTAATGTCTCAATTAATATTCAGGTAATCAATATATATTAAGTTAGGTATACAATTACTTTATTCAAAAAGTAATTAAGTACTAATTTAATGTTATTGGTTCTTGTTAGTATTCAAAAAAATAAAGTGTTGTGCAGTAAAACAGTTTAAAATTGTGAATTTGCATTATATTTGTATCATATTCATACATCACTATAATATTATTAATTTAAAAAATATTTATTCTTGTATGCTTTGATCAATCATGCAATATTTTATACAAAAAAAATAATGATTTACGTCTTTGTTTTACTGCGTCTTCTGTTTAAGTATTAAAAATGCTGAATTTTTTTTTTTAGTATTTTTTTAACGCTTAATTTTTTTAATGCATATTCGTAAAAAATAGGACTTTTATTTAAAGCTGATCCCCACATTAAGCAACCAACTTTTTTCTTTCGATGTTTTGAAAGAGTATTACGACAAAGCAAATAATTTGTCCTTTCAAAGGGAATTGTTTTTTACCAATAAGTATTATTAATAAGTAAAGACTAAAAAGCGCTCGAAACGAACTCTTTATGTAAATATAAATTATTAAATATTAATTTAATATCTACGTATATACAAATTTTCGAGTAAATAATTTTTTTTCACCAAATTAATGGTATTATAGCTTAAATATGACATTAGATTTCTACCGAATTTAATTTGTTTTGAATATTATCGCAACAACAGTAATTGACCACCAATTAGAAGAGAATAAAGTTCAACAGCATAGGACGCAGGAACATAGGTTAACTGCTAGCCTTTAAGTAATTAAAATTTTATAGCATATTGTAAATTAATATATTCAATTTGCCATACGACCCTGAACTCTTACCGTCGATGGCTAGTAGACGTTTTTATGTTCTATTCAAAAGGGTATACAAAACCCTAGCGCTGTAAAGAATAATATGGTAAGGCGTCATTCCAAATTATTTTTTTTTCAAAAGAGTCTATTGTTAAAAATTAAAAACAAAAAACCGTTCGGAACGCAACATGAATATATTGACTCGGCGGTTTAGGATACATTATTATGAGTACAGACAAAATTTAAAAAAAAAAAACAAAAACAAAAGCTCATCATTGTAAAAACAATACGTTTGTGTTTAACATTTTTCGTTACTGGAATCGATAAAATTATGACAATTCAGGGACACAACGTCAAACTTTTCCTAATGTATTATGTTTTTTTTTAGAATGTATTGTTTAAAAATTAAATAAAAAGTAAAATTTTTTCGGACAGAACATACCATGAGAATACCACTGCACTACAGTTTAATAATTTTCGTTGGTCTCTGTAATTTGTGTATTATTATATAAATATTAAATAACAAATTAAGGAGATTAATATTAAAACATATTTTACACATTATGTCGGTTCCGACCTTAAATATAAACGACCCTACCGTAAAGGAAAAAGCAAAACGGCCGACTCTTATACCTGAATCGTTGACCAAACTGGCGAGGGTCGCTCTGATCTATCCAGCGCGGCTCGTCGGATCGACGGCTACCGGCACAATCAAGTTCAGTCCGATGCTCTATGCGTTCAACGGGCTGTTGGTGATGGCTGCGGTGATTTGCGGCTACGGGTCGTTGCTGGGCGAACTGAATTTGTTTCGAAAGGGTCAGTCCGCGTCGTTCAAGAACGCCGTTGTCGCTGCGGGCGCGTGCTTCAATTACACCATGTTGGTCTTGCCTTGCACGATAGCCGTGTTCGGGTCGGCGTCCCGGCACGCCGCGTGGCTGGACGTCGAGCGGTTGATCGGCCGCGTGGACGAGGCTCTTGACAGCCGCAGATGTGCGGTGGTCGACAAACGCGTCGAGCGGTGTGCCGTTTGGCTGGTTTGCCTTCAAGTGGCGGTGTACGCAGCCGACTACTCTATGTGGTTAACTGTCAGTCCGGGTAAAATAAGCTACGGTGTAATCTACCTGTTTTCCTATATCAACATGGTATCGGTGGCTGTGTACGCGCAGTTGGCTTGGAGCATAGGTCGTCGGTTCGACATTGTCAACCGCGAGATCGAGGCAAAGCTCGAACGGTTGACGTCGCCGAACCGCGTCGAATTTCCAAATCGCCGCTGTCACAACTTGTCTTATTTACTCCGTTGCTCCGACAATCGACTCAAAGGTGAGTTTTACATTGGGATGATCCTCAACCCTTTCAGAGCTTGAAACGTACCATTACGTTTTTCTGTATAAGGCCTTTTTGTAACGTCCGTTAGACATAGAGCGGTATCAAAGTTAATGAAAAGAAGTGAAAGAATACAATAGAAAGAGACTATAAGCGTATTAAAATATCGGTTTATCATTGTCTCAAAATCGTAATATTAACCCTTTCACATTCCACTGAGTATACTTCTTGTAACCCAAAACCCTTAAAAATGTTTTAATGTTTACACGTTATAATTTCAGACGTGAAATATATTCCTATGAAAAAAATTCAAGAAATGCACTGGAGTATTTGCTATTGTGTCAACATTTTAAACCACCAGTACGGATGGCAACTGCTAACGAGCCTATTGCTGAACATGATAAATCTGATAACCTTTCCGAATATCCTGCTAACAACGAAAGGCGCGAATACATTGTGGCTCGGGTTATTCAACTACGGATTTACAATTGTCTACGTTGTTTGGTTATTTTGTCACCTAGCTCTTTTATTTTTTATTGTGCTGCCTTCGTCGTACGCTAACTCAAAAGTATATTGTAGAAGTCAACGCTATTTTAGAATATATAGAAATAACCGTTGCTTCTTTGTTTTTCGCAGGCCGACAGCACAGCCGTCAGTATATGTAAATATCTAAATGTTTATCTCGTACCGGACGACATGAAACAGGTATTTTTAAAGTAGTAAAATATTAGAAGATAATAAATACCATTTCTTCTAATATCTGGGTAGGTTATAGTAAATAAAGATCAGTTAATCCGCAATAAATAAATCATTAATATCTTTAGCTTCAAATAAATGTAAAAATATATATTATCAACATGAATATATTTATCGGCTGGGAGGACACTGGAGGGTTAAGTAAGGATAGTGAGGAAAAAAAGTGAAAGTTAAGGGAGCAGAAAAGAGAAAAAGGGTGTAAATGTAAAGTGAGGATTACTGATAAGAAACAGCTAATAATGGCTGCCTTAAAACCCTTCAGACTCTTAATTAGCGTCATTGAGACATGGGAACGTGAAAGTGAGGAGAGTGTAGAAGAAATAAAGGGTCAAAGGAGGGTTAATTATAAGGGAACGGGTAGAGGGGATAAGTGTAGGTAGTGGAGAGAGAATCGTGGAATATACCCGATGGACTGTTCCGGCTTTGAGCTAATTGAACCAATTAACCGAGTTTTTCTAACCCTCGTGTCTATGTTTCCTCTTAAGTTGGGCTTTTCATGGCGGTAGAGATGGCCCAAAATCATACCCATGATTAATTTTTTTTCAATAAAGTGGATAAAATGTTAATTTTTTTGCACTTTGCCTACATTTTTGTAGATTAAATGTTTGTATATAACAAACGCTTACTTATTTTTGGTCGTATGTGTTACAGTTAGAACTTTTTGTACTTCAACTATACAAGCATAAGGTACGTTTGTCAATTTGTGGAGTCGTGGATTTACATATATCTACAATAACAAAAGTAAGTATACACTGTTTTTTTTTATTTATATAATAATGATTAAGTAATGGTAGATTGCCGACGTGCAACGATGATAGTCGACAAGACATTTTATTCACTCTTTTATTGGGTTTTTATACATTTTATCAAGGTATATAAGAAAGTTATTGCATTCAATAAGAACTAAATTATATTATCTCTGAAGTAGGTGTCTCTATGGTTTTTTAGACTTCATTGATATGACAAAAAATTGTACAATATTTTACCAACTAGATGGATTGTAGAATTACAAGTCAATTGGACACACTTAAGACGAATTAGTTATGATTGATTTTCAGGTGATTGGGACTACCATTACATATTTGCTAGTTTTCATTCAATTACAAAACAAGTGAATGCAGGATTTCAACTACTTATCAACCTATAATAGACAAAACATTGTACATAACATGTAGTATAGTTTCAATTTAATAATCATGCAAAAAATATATTTTAAGTTAGGTGTAAAAATAGTTAATATAAATTCAAGACATCATTAAGTACTAATTTAATATCGTTAGTATTTAAAAAAATAAATTGTTGTGCTGAAAACAGGTTTTAAACTGTGTATTTGCATTGTATAATATAATGCTGATATTAATCGTTTATAAAAATATGTTTATACTTGTATGTTTAAATTTATAGTATGACAAGGACATGTTCTTTCAAAGGGAATTGTTTTTTACCAATAAACTATTGTTAATAAGTAAAAACTAAAAAGCGTTCGAAACAAAATTTCTATATATACATATAAATTATTATTGATTTAAATACTGTTTACAATTTTTTGTTACGGCAATCCATAAAATGACGATAATTCAGAAACACAACATCGACCTTTTTAGAAGTTATTTTGTTTATTTTAGAATCTTGTACAGTCATTACTATACTGAAACCGCTTTCTAAAGTATTCAAATATTTTGTTTGTATTAATATTTTTATTTTCTCTACGCGGGAATTAAGCATTGAATATTTGAATCCATTATGCGCTTAAGTATTGCACTAGTGAAGATGACAGAATGTCCATTGGGCATTACATTTGTTTGGTTTAACCCAATCATAGTTATTAATTGTCAAAACCTGTTCATAATATTATATTATTGCAGTAAATTTGTCCAAACAACTACAATAGAGTCCCCACGATTTTCCATGGATAAAATAACACAACAAAGTATAGTCTTAAATATAAAATTTAAACACAGTTATTCGGGTTCGATTAAAAAGAGTTAGAAACGTCTAACCAAAATTGAAACGATGGGCTAAGTTGTATTTACCTAAACGAGTAACAGTAAACCATTTTACTTTATGACCGTTCCATCACCAAATATATGGTACTATAGCCTAAATGTGACATTAGATGTCCACCGAATTTGAATATTATCGCAACAACAGTAATTAACCACCAATTAGAAGAGGATAAAGGTTAACAACATAGGACGCGGGAACATAGGTGAACTGCTAATCTTTTAGGTAACATACTTATATAGCATATTGTAAATTCATTTATTCAATTTGCTATACGACCCTGACCTCTTACCGTCGATGGCTAGTAGACGTTTTTATGTTCTATTCAAAAGGGTATACAAAACCCTAGCACTGTAAAGAATAATATGACAAGGCGTCATTCCAAATTATTTTTTTTCAAAAGAGTCTATTGTTAAAAATTAAAAACTAAAAACCGTTCGGAACGCGATATGAATATATTTACTCAGCGGTTTAGGATATATTGTGGATCCAGAAAAAATAATAAAAACAAAAGCTCATCATTGTAAAAACAATACGTTTGTGTTTAACATTTTCGTTACTGAAATCGATAAAATTATGAAAATTCAGGGACGCAACGTCAAATTTTTCATAATTTATTATGTTTTTTTAGAATGTATTGTTGAAAAAAAAAAATATATATATAAAGTAAAATGTTTTCAGACAGAACACTATGATGTTACCACTGCACTACAGTTAACTAATTCTCGTTGGTCTCGAGGAATGAGCAAACCGTTAGTGCAATAAAATAATTATTTTATTATTAGATAATTATTAAAAAACAAGTTAGGAGATTTTTATAAAAAGAAAATTAAATAGACTATGTCGGTTCCGATCTTAAATATGAACGACCCTTCCTCAATGACAAAGGGAAAACGGCCGACTCTTCTTCCTGAACCGTTGACGAAACTGGCCAGGGCCGCTCTGATCTATCCGGTGAGATTTGAACGATCGAAGGCGACCGTGCCAGTCGAGTTCAGTCCGATGCTCTATGCGTTTAACAGACTGGTGGTGATAGCGGCGATGATTTGCGGCTACGGGTCGTTGCTGGGCGAACTGATGTCGTTCCGAAAGGGTCAGTCCGCGCCGTTCATGAATGGCATTGTCGCTGTGGGCGCGTGCTTCAATTATACCTTGTTGGTCTTGCCTTGCACGATAGCCGTGTTCGGGTCGGCGTCCCGGCACGCGGCGTGGCTGGACGTCATGCGGTTGATGGACCGCGTTGACGAGGCTCTTGACAGCCGCAGCTGTGCGGTGGTCGACAAACGCGTCGAGCGGTGTGTCGTTTGGCTGGTTTGGCTTCAGTCGGTGGTGTTCGCAGGCGACTACTGCCTCTGGTTAACGTTCAATCCGTCTAACAAGAGCTACGGCGTAATCTACCTGTTTTACTATATCAACATGGTGTCAGTGGCCGTGTACGCGCAGTGGGCTTGGTGCATAGGTCGTCGGTTCGACATTGTCAACCGCGAGATCGAGGCAAAGCTCGAACGGTTGACGTCTCCGAACCGCGTCGAATTCGCAAATCGCCGCTGTCACAACTTGTCTTATTTACTCCGTTGCTCCGACAATCGACTTAAAGGTGAGTTTTACATTGAGATGATCCTCAACCCTTTCACTGCTCCAAACGTGCCATTACGTTTTTCTGTATAAGTCCTTCTTATAACATCCGTTCGGCATGGAAGCGGTATCAAAAATTAATAAAAAAAAATCAAAGAATATAATGGAACAACAAAAAGAATCATCAAACAAGATATAAGTATAATTTAATATCTGTTTGCCAGGATGTATGCATTTTGATTGTCGTTTCAAATTCGTTGTACTTCGGCTATTGTAAAAAAAAATTAATTCCAACTTTTTTTTTTGAAATTTCTACGCGTTTTAATTTCAGATGTGAAATATATTCCTATAAAAAAAATTCAAGAAATGCACTGGAGTCTTTGCTATTGTGTCAACATTTTAAATCACGAGTACGGTTGGCAATTGCTAACGAGCCTATTGGTGAACATAATAAATCTGATAACCTTTTCAAATATCCTGCTAACAACGGAAGGTGCGAAAACATTTTGGCTCGGGCTATTCAACTACGCATTTACAATTATCTACGTTGGTTGGTTATTTTGTCACCTAGCTCTTATATTTTTGATTGTGCTGCCCTCGTCGTACGCTAACTCGAAAGTATATAGTAGAATTCAACGCCATTTTAGAATAGATCGAAATAACAGTTGCTTCTTCTTTGTTTCTCACAGGCCGACAGAACAGCCGTCAGTATATGTAAATATCTAAACGTTTATATCGTACCGGAAGACATGAAACAGGTATTTTTAAAGTAGTAAAATATTAGTAGATAATTAGTAGATAATCAGTTAATCCGTAACAAATATATCATTAATATATTTAGTTTCAAATAAATATAAAAATATATGTTATCAGCATATATAATTAACTGTATATTTAATATATTTTTGGGCTGGTAGGACACCTGAAGGTTAAGGTAGGATAGTGAGGAAAAGAGGGGAAAAAGGATGAAAAAGGGAAAGTGAGGACCAACGATAAGGGACAGCTAATTAGCGTCATTGAGATACTGAAACGTGAAAGTGAGGGGAGTATAGAAGAAGGAAAGGACGAATGGAGGGCTAATTATAAGGAAATTGATGGGGGGATGTAGTGTAGGTGGTGGAGTAAGCATCGTGTAATAGACCCGTTGAACTATTCAGGCCTCAAGGTAGGCAAGGAAGGAAGGAAGGGAATGCCAGTGTAACCTTCTTGTCTCTGCTTTCTTTTAAGTTGGGCTTCTCATGGCGGTGGAGACGATCAAAAATCATATCCATGATTAATTGTTTTTCAATAAAGTGGACAAAACGATAATTTCTTTTGCACTTTGCCTACATTTTTTTTAGACTAAATGTTTTATATAATAAACGCTTACTTATTTTTGGTTGTATGTGTTACATCTCATGATGGCAGCATTGGGCCTTCATGGCCCGTTAAGCTACATGATGATGATGATGATGTGTTACAGTTAGAACTATTTGTACTTCAACTGTATAAGCATAAGGTACGTTTGTCAATTTGTGGAGTCGTGGATTTACATGTATCTACAATAACAAAAGTAGGTATACACGGTTTTTTTTAATTTATATAATAATGATTAAGTAATGGTAGACTACCGACGTGCAAGAGATGTACAGTCGACAAGACATTTTGTTCACTCTTTTATTGGGTTTTTATACATTTTATCAAAGTATATAAGAAAATTATTGCAATCAATAAGAATTCAATTATATTATCTCTGAAGTAGGTATCTCTATGGTTTTTAGACTTCATTGAAATGTCAATCAAAAATATTTTACAAACTAGATGGATTGTAGAATTACAAGTCAATTGGACACACTTAAGACGAATTAGTTATGATTGATTTTCAGGTGATTGGGACTACCATTACATATTTGCTAATTTTCATTCAATTACAAAAGAAGTAAACGCAGAATTTCAACTACTTATAGACCTATAATAATATAGAAAACAATTTACACACCTACCTTTTTGTAAATTGAGTTATCATTTTTTTATTGTTGATTTTTGTTAAAAGTGTATGTTGTGCAGAATATTTTTATAAAATCGTAACTACATTATTTGTTTTGACCATAATATCTATGTTATATTAATTATATTATACATTTATAAAATATGTATGTTACTATTAAAACTCCGGTTTGTCTTATATCTATCAACTGGCAATTGGCATGAGACCGTTTTTTCTTTGAATGGTGGAATAATGTATTTTGTCCAAACGATTAATAAATACAAGGGTCGAAAATGAATGAGTAAGTAGAAAAATTCGTTTAGAATAATAGTAATAGTTGTACGTTTGTCTTGTGAATATCCCGTCATCGTTAAAATACAAAAAACTTACCTACAGAGTGTTCCGCAATTATGATTCATACTAATTTTGTGTAAGTGGTATTCATTGGTGTTCATAAATATTATAATCAAGAAAAGTTCGAGTGCTCAACTCGTCAATCTTGTCAACTCATGTCAAAAGAGGTTTCATGTTATGACACATAATTATGCACCAAAATTCTGCTTTTGCACACATACTATAATCAAGGCTCTAATAGCTTCATACAAATCCACCAACAATCTAATATACAATGTCGGATGTCGTTTTCTCATTAACGCTCACTTGAAACTTATTCTCTCGGATCTTACTGTTAAAATTAATTATCCAAAATATACATAAACCACAACATAAATGTCGAATCCTTATAGAATCACTCTGTATGCGGTTAGATCAGTACGGCCTTTGCGAGTTCACCTGTGCACACTTTTCTGCGTTTCAATGGTGACGCACTAAAATCCTATTTCTTTGAGTTAATATGGAATTCTTTCAATTTTTTACCGTCTAACGTTGCGCAATACCGCTCGTAGGGCGATAATATATTATTTAATACATCACATCTGTAAAGTCGATTATTTTTGCATGTGTTTTGACATGACCATGTCGAGTTATTGTGAAAGCCACCACCGATTGTTGATGTTCGTGTCGTTCATAGTAGGTGATCCGGCAACGGTTAAATTTTATTTTCATAAGTATTGTGTACATAATATCATATTATATTGTGCACGTTTTTATTCGGTCGGTTTCGAAATTAAAATAAGATTGGTTTTTTAATTTTAATTTTTACCGTTGGGCTTTTAGCTGCTGTTTGCCACATGTCGTCGAGGTGCCTTTGCCAATGACAAGTCCGATTTACCTGCGGTGAAAATGTCCAACAGCCTGGAAATCGACATGTCGAAAAACATACCGTTAAAGCCCTTCTTGTACTACGCGGTAATGAACGGCGGCAGTACGGGTTCTAGAATGTCGGTGTTTACATTCGGAGTCGAAGAGGGTAGGTGCCTTAAGTATATTTTTATGGAAAAACGGTTCGTGCAAACAGTAAAATTACAATAACAATACAAAGCCCCCATTTTTCCCCGCCAACGATAGTGGGAATGCGGAATAAATAATTTTCATAAAGTCCACTTGTGTGGTTGTTGCTCTAAACTCTTCCTACATCCCAGGCCAAAGTTCCAAAGGCTTGTCGATCGGATGCATGTCCGTTGGTTGAACTGTTTTGTGTTTTATACATGGTATACTTTTGCAGTAACGATGAACAAGAAACAAATCGACAAAAATACAACGAAGTTCAAACCCAATCTACCGTGTAAGTAGTCCGTATGCTGTATTATGACGTAGAAAAAAAACCAAAATTTTTATACAGTAAGGTATCGTTCGTGTTGAACTCGGCGAGTTGTCTTGTGTACCGTGCAAATTGAGGTCACGTTTGTAAATGTGTCGCATGTATCCCATAAACCAAGTGCCTACGCACAACTATAGTTTACAATAACAATGCTACAATATATTATTATAATGAATTAACGTTATTTGGAAACGTGATAACGTTTTCGTTTCTTAACCCTTTGAAGTATGAAAAGTTCACCGGTACAAATGGATCCACAAAAATACTGGATAATAATATTATACGGGTTTGTGTGGTTGTTGAAATCAAACTAATAATATCTTTGTCCGTAGATTATAAACTTATATTGTTAAAAGAATGTGCCAAGAGAGTGTCACCGGATTTGACAGCTTTCGTCAAAGAACCGGCAAAAGTAAGGATATACCTATGCTGTGGTTACAATCTAGTAATACAACCTAGTAATAAGTTTTCTTCTCCGTCATAAAAAAACTTAAATTTTGATCACACTACATTTGCCAACAATATTGTTATGAAAGATATTTATTGAAATAATACAATACACATCAGCCGTATTATAAAAACTCAAATTATACATTTCAATTTGATCTATTGTACAGTTGCATAGGGCTCACCTAATTTTCAAATCTTCTTCAATTCTTCTCCACGCGCTCACATGACCTCGATGCCGAATACTTAAATTTCTCTACTCCATCCCTTCCTTTCCAAAGTTATCAGGTTTTGACTCCTGAAACCTTCTCATTGCTTAAATCAAGCTGTTATTCATATTTGTTTCTTCAAAAGGTCGAGACCACAATACTTCCTTTGTTAAAAAAGGCCAAGGATTGCATACCTGATATATACCAAGCTCACACTTTTGTTCAGTTAAAAGCTACCGGAGGCATGAGGCTACTTACGGAACCAGAAGCGGCTTCTATTTATAAAGAAGTGACCAAATTTGCGATTGCGTCGACATGCGATGAATTTTTTATTTAAAGATGTCTGTTTAACAGGTTGCCAGAACTATTTCTAAAAGCAACTTCAGTAAGCACAGCGACCTGGCTTCGTCTTTGGTGGGCGTCGAAGAGGGGATATTTTCGTGGATAACGGTTGTATATTTGCTCAGTTAGTATAGTTTACATTAGTAATCATTCGGACCAAAACAATTTACAAGTCTGTATTACTATGATCTTAAAATACTGTTTTTACTATTTTATTATTATTTATAATAATTCAAATTGTTAAAGGATGGGGGTACCCGGGAAGGGTGCACTCGGATCTATTTCACATTAGCTTTGTTTCACCCATGCCCTACTGAGTCTGACAGCCGTATGTGTTGTAGAGACCTGAAACTCTTGCTAATTTTATTATTTTTTTTATTCTCTAATTAAATATCCTTGCTCTGTTATTAGTCCAATCAACGTGCTCATTTAGTTTCTGTTCGAATATTTAATACCTTTTATAGTAATATACCTGTATGCTTAGATGAACACTTGCGATTGTCTAGTTAACACTGGGTACCTCTACGTATTCCTGCTATTCTTTCTGTTCTTTGGTGTAGTACCTTTAGAGTCGACTCCAAGAGTCCTACCACTGGTTCAGGAACAATATATAAGTTGTTTCAGTCCCTTTGAGCTTGCCGCTACTTCAAAGCCGTATTGCGTTCGTTACAGGGGAGGAGGTGCATAAGAGTAATGTGGCCACTATAGATATGGGCGGGGCTTCTATACAAATAACTTACATCACGTCGGACAGAAGAAGTCCGAGAAGTTGGTTGCCAATATCAGTGGAAAAAGCTAGGATACACACTCGCATCATGAACGGACATGTGGTGAACCTGTACACTTATAGGTAGATCACGAATATTATAGTATAAAATTCACAGGTCGTTGTGTTGAGGAAATTTCGAAATGTGTGTAATCAGAAGCAGGGCCATACTTCATTGATGGCATAACAGCGATATTTTCGAATATTAAATATGATTAAACATTGGAGCATCCTTTACACAGCCTGTGTGATTTTATTCCATAAACTATGTAACGACGATTCCTTAGATTAAAAATACTATATATGATTTTTTACTTTATTTAGTTATCCGGATCACGGCGCGACAACGACTCGCCGTAGAATTACAACTAACTATTGTCTGGCGCTCGGTGACAAGAGACTTTGCCAGAGCCCTTGTCTAAGCCCGAAGATAAAAAATAAAGAAGTTGAATTTAACGGCATTGTATATTACATCGGGTGAGTCTAGTTACCTTGTACAATGAATTTAAATCTAGTTACTCTGAGAGTTTTCCAATACTGACTAAAGTGCCACAATGTTATTCGGTAATTCGGTTAGGTATCTTTTATTTAGTTAGTCCTGACCAAAACTTAAATCTAATATCTTGGTCATTTACTCGGCAAAAAATTACCTTGAGTAGACCTCAAAGGATTCAATTGCATATGTGTTACAATATCTAAATCCGTAATCAGACCAGACATATGCGGTTTGATCATTCGATCAAACCGGGGGTTCGACTAAACCGGTGACTTTAATGACAATCCAAGCATTCCAATCCATCTTTCTTCGCCAAATTATCTCTGCTCCATGACATTAAAAGCTCTTTATTCCTACAATGAGCTGACGGGTAACCAAGCCCTTACGACGTATGTATATCAATTAAACATTTCCTGCTAATGGCAAAACTCTGAAACTATCTCTTGCATACAAATCCCTAGTTCCGTATATTCTAGTGTCACCACACATCCATCTCATCATAAATTATTTCCATTTGCTTTTAATCTAATCTATCTAATTCAATGTCCATCAATTTCCTACGTATATCAATGCTGAGATCACTAAATGACATATTTCTGTCACACAATTCTATTGAACTGCAGTAGACAGATGAACATCGACGCATGTTATAGTAGAATCTAGCGTACTGCATTTTTAACCTTTTTATTTATTTTAAACAGTAATTTTGTAAAAATATATATTAAACATTGAGTTGCACTTATTTAGAGGGGCAAGAACCAAAGACAATAAGATCAACGTCGAAGAATGCCAAAAAGAAGTTTTGAGAGTCACGAAACTACATAGAACGTTTAGATATAACGACGAGTTGCACTTAAAAAATGTGTATTTGTTCTCAGGATTTTTCAAAATAGCCGAGGCATCCGGATTAATTGGTAAGTACGTTGTAAAGTTGACAACATAGCATTTAAAAAGTTTAATAAGAAAATGTCTGTTTGGATTGAAAAAACTTAATATTATTCTATTTTAAACCTTTTTTATTGTATTTTTTCATAAAATATTATACATTGTAATAACAAAAATTCTATAAATCATGACAATTTTTACTTTTTAAATTTAATTTTGAGTATTTATCTTTATCATCAACAAAATGAAAACATTGGCAATTGCTTATGTTGGTAAGAAAACCAATGACAGTTTTTTTTCTGTATAGAAGGAGAAGGAGAAGTAAAAAAGGGAAATATATACGCTACAGCAATAGAGGAGGGTAAATAAATAAACAATTTACATTACTAGTTATAAGTAAAAAAAAAAAACAGACAGCAGATATGGAACGCGACTAGATTTTAATATTATCATTGAAATTTTCGCTGATTGTAGTTTGCGGCAGAGAAGACCACTCGGCCGAACTGTTCAAGTGTTTGGATCTAATTTACATGGACTTATTGCTAAAAGTGGGCTTTGGAATTACCGATGAAATGGACGTATACGTTAGTTGGCGATAATTGTTTATATAATATTGACCTACCAATTTTTTGTACTTTATTAACTCAATTTACCGTGCTATGTCTTAGATCTATGACATGATAGGCGGAGTTCCTATTACTTGGACGTTGGGATACACGCTTTACAACATTCAATCCATGACCATGGACGCAAACGTATTGTATTGACGTCAATTATTAAATAATAATACAAGCTATAACTTAGCACTAACCTATTAAAGTACCAGAAAATATTAAATTAATATTCAATAATTAATAATTTACAATGCAAAAATAATTAATAAATTTGATGAAAGAAACATAACAAATGTATTAAGAATATAGATGCAATTTAATTTAATTAAAGAAACGCTGTTTTATTCTATAATATAATGTGTCTAAATGTGAATTTAGTTATTATATTTGTATTGTAAGTACAGTTTTTGAAAAAACGGAGATGTGATGATTGCAATGATGTTAAAAATATTAATTCTAATCGATTTCCGCCTATGTGTTGATGTCACAGTTGTTAACGAATTATTGGTTACTATATATAATACATATTACATAATATTGTAAACACTTGCATCCCACGAAATATGACGCCCCTGACACGGTTCATCTTATACATAAAGTAATAATAATAATATGTTAGCATAATAGTTGTATAGGTACTTTTTGGGGTTTCGGGTGACTGAATAAGGGTAAGAACGATACCATTTCTTGGTAGGCGAATTCGTCGTATTCCGTGCACTGGAGCATTCCGTCGAGCACTAGAACGTTGCCGTATGTCTTCCTTTAAGAAAAACGAAAACCAGAAACACAAGATTGAGGCATAAAAAAAAAGTTACAGTGGGTGCAGACACAAAAAAAAGCTCACACCGCTCTAAAACCAATAGCATATCAACCGCACATCGAAGCTAAAATACTATATTATGCTAAATGTTTAATTTAAGTTTTAATTTGCATGCAAATTTCCACAAGAGGAAAAGAAAAAAAAAGAAAATAATAGACTTGATAATTAATTATCTGCAAGTGTTACTATTATATGTATATTATACTATATGTGAGCCCGCCTCGCGTTAGAGGAAAACGGGATTTTGTAAATGATATTAATTAGATGTATTATCAAAATAGATACTTCTTTTCTACGGTAATATGTATGGTTAAAAATATTAGCTTAATGTTAGGTTTTAGCGAAAACTTACCCATACAATGCGCCTAACTAAATGCCAGTGTAGAGGTCCCTTAAGATTTTAACGCGTTCGTGCGTTTTAAACAGTAGCAACTTCACTGATCTCGAGGTCGGTGCCGTAAAGGTGGGTGTGCTCACGTTTTTAACACTAAAATGTCCTGGTACTTGGACTTCTCTTGATGGAGCACCTGTTCGACTTGCATGGAAAAACATCGGCCCGGCAACAGGTCGGTGATTTCACTATACCATCCTTTTTTCAACGCGTCCATGATAGCAATGACATGTTTGTAGCGCGTCTGTCGGTCAAATAAAACTGATATTTTCGAAAACGGTAGGTAAGGTAAATAAGGTAAATAAGTATGTTTATCTGGTAGATAGTAATATTTCTAATTAGTAATAACTAGTTATAATAGGACGCCACCTATATTAAATGTATTATAATATAAAGCAAAATCAAACCATCTAATAAATACGTTGCATTTCTGCTGCAATATGCATTGAAGGTTAATCCTTTATGTAGGTTGTTGTTTAGTCAGGCTTATTGATTGACCTTCCTTAAAATAACTTATAAGATAATAATTTAATTTAAAAATGTGTTATACATTTAAAATCAATAATTTTTAGTTGACTTTATTAAGTCTATCGTTGAAATATTTACTACAAATTGTTATCTAAACTTTTATCTGCGCGCATTTCCCAACCGCACTTCCCTCCCCATCCCATTTTTATAGCACGCTAGTTAAAGCGTTCTAAATCAATAATTGATAATAATTTATTCGAGGTCTTCGAATGATGACGATTTAGTGCGATATTTCAACTAATTAGGAATTGTGCAAATATATTATTAATATTATGTTATATAATATATTATAATACTATCAATCAACGATCAATGCCCAACACGCTAGGTAGATAAAACCACTACAAACCATACAAATCTTCAATAGTTCAGCGTGCTTCAGTTATTTAGCCGCAAAAAATCACAGGGTTTTCAAACTTTTTGAAGACTCTTTATAGTATATTCTGTAATTTCCTTTTATATAAGTGTCTGAGTAAATATCCTTGCACAGTTATTGGCCTAACCAACGTGTTCATTTAATGTCTGTTCATATGTTTAAGATATTTTATTAGTAATAGACCTGAATGCTTGATGAACACCTTCAATTGTCTAGGTACCTCTACGTATTCCTGTTCTTTTTTCAGTTCTTTGGTAGTACCTTCAGAGTTGGCTCCAAGAGTCCTACCTCTGGTTGCCACTACTTCAAAACCGTATTGCGTTCGTTACAGAGGAGGAGGTGCAGACGAGTAATGTGGCCACTTTAGATATGGGCGGCTTTTCTGTACAAATAACTTATACCACATCGTACAGAAATACTCCAAAAAGTTGCCAATAACCGCATAATTAGCATATTGCATTTTCAACATTTTTATTTACTTTTTACTGTATCATTGTTAAAACATATATTAAACATTGAATTGCACATAATATATAGAGGGACAAAAGCCAAAGTTAATAAAATCAGCATGGAATAATTCCAAAAAGAGTTGTATTTATTCTCAGGATTTTTTAAAATAGCCGAGACATCCGGGTTAATTGGTAAGTACGGCTGTTAACATAACATTCCAGACGCTTAATAAGAAATTGTCTAATTGAATTGACATACCTTAAAATTATACTTTGTAATAACAAAAATTCTCTAAATTATGAGAATTTGTATTTTGTACATTTAATTTTAAGTATTTATGTATCTTTATCAATTAAATTAAAACATTAACATTTTCTTCTGTTGGTAGGCAAACTAATGATAGTTGTTTTCTGTGTAGAAGGTGAAAGAGAAGTTAAAAAGGGCGTATATAAACGCTACAGCATTATAGAAGTGTAAATAAATAAACAATTTACATTACAAGTTATTAGTAAAAAAAAACATACAACAGCTATGGAACGCGACTAGATTTTAATATTATAATTGACGTATTCGATGATTGTAGTTTTCTGCAGTGAAGACCACTCGGCCGATAAATGGACGTATACGTTGTCGATAATGGTTTATATAATACTGACCTTACCAGTTTTTTGTACTTTATTAACTCAATCTACCGTGTTATGTCTTAGACCTACGACATGATAGGCGGAGTTCCTATTACTTGGACGTTGGGATACACGCTTTACAACATTCAAGCCATGGTCATCAAATGACAACGCAGGCTACATTCTTATTTGTTTATAAATAATCATAAGATATAAGCAGCAATATAAAACATAGTACTTTATATTATAATAATGTACTATATTACGCAATTGTAGTAAAACTATAGAGTGGTAACGTTTTGTATAGAATATATATTATATAAAAATATCTCTTCTTCTTCCTTTTCTGAGACACCGATAATAATTTAGTCTTTACATTCGTCGGCTTCGATTGCGTCGACAACGAAGGCGGGTAAGGCGAAAGCCGCTTTGTGGACTTCGGTTGTGTAATAACGCAGTTGCATTTCTTTCCGTTGTTGTTGGGTTAACTGGAACACCGGACTTTCAAAATCAGTGTTCTGTAACACACAAATGTAATATTATTATTTAACAAGATTTGCACTTAGTATGGTTTTAATTTTCTCGAGACAATCCACGGAATAAGTTGTTTTTTATAAACAAAAACATCTGTAAAACAACATAGCAGCTAGCATTTCCTATTTTTCTCTTAAAAGAGTAAAAAATGATTGCATATAGTTGCATATTTTCTATCATGTAGTAACTAAAAACCAGAGGGAAAAAATGTGCTTGGCATTGAGACAATAGTGATATATATATAAAAAGAAGAAAGTGTAAGTGAGGCGAGGAGAGGAGATAGAATAGGGAAAATGAGAGAAGGAAATTAAGGAGAGGGAGGGGCATTTATTAAATCAAAACCGAGGAGAATCAGCTGACTATGAGACTTATTCACGATCCAATGCCTTTCCTTCTAGGGGAAAACTTGATTTCCTTTTAAACGACCTATTCAAAAGTTTAAAAATGGTTTAATTTTTGGTTCCCATATTCATAATTGTATTTTCCAAAGGGGTATGGCACATCTCTAGCTTTAATGGTCGCTCTTCAATCATCTCTGTCACATTTTAATGGTTATGCACCACCACTTCTAACCGTTAAAGTGTTTACACTATAATCGAGGCCGATCAATAACATACCTCGTTTAGGCTTCCCAGAGCATAACCGATCTGGCCGTGCGGGTAGGTAGGAACGTAGGAAGTGGCATAGCCCACCTTGGCGAACACGTCTCTGCAATGTTTACGCATTGAAGTGGCGTTTTCCAGGTGTCCCCAAAACGTATCGGCTTGGGAGCAAACTATACCACCGGGTCTCAACGCCCTCTTCATCAGCTCGAAGTAGGACTTCTGGAAGAGTGAAACTGCTGGGCCTGTATAATGGATAATAATACATAAACTTGGTTACGTGACGATAGGCAATGAAACAATATGGCAGAATTGTAGCTAATTTCAATAATAAGGTATGGGAATGGGAATGAAATTTGGTTTTCTGAGGTATCCGGAATTTTGGATATCAATTTTGACATGAATAATAAATCGGCTTATGGCTGGGGAGGGGAAAAGATCGCGGAGGGAATTCCTGATAACTGATAAGAGAATTATCGATAAGAGATAAATGATAAAAAATCAAGTGATAAGAGACAGAAATCACAGATGATCACAAGACTTGTTCGTGATCTCATGTATTTCCTTCAAAGGAAAGATTGTTTTTTTTTTCATTGGTAGTTGTTTAAAATTGCTCAGAAAAGGAATAGTCAGGGGCGTTCAAGAAGCAACGGACGGAGTCAGTTTTAAGGGGAAAGAACATGCAGATGACGTAGTGATACTTGGATCAAACGAGCAAAACATAAAAGAACTGATAGTAGAGCACAAGAAATGATGCTAGTGATAAATGAAGGAAAAATAAATATTCGGTTGTTAAAAAAGATAATCAGCTGGTTTAGAGTAGAGATTAAAATATAAAATCCAAAAAAGAAATTAGAGAGAGAACAACTTTGACGATAAAGAGGACTGTCCGTCACACGAGTTGCAAAATGACACAGTAATTGTTATCAGACATTCGTTACAGTTATGTTTAGATACTAAAAGGGTTGAAATAAAAGTTTAAGTAAGACCTGTAGTTTCATATGCACTAATAAGGAGAAATAAGGGGAAATCATATTATCAGAAATGTACTATTGATATAAATGGTTATTTTTAGGATTCTCTGGTAAGGTATCATGGGATAGTGATTTTACATTGTCCTAATTTTTTCTAATAATTGTGCCGAACCTGTTTACTTCACCGGTTTGTAATTATCGTTTTGTTGTAATTAAAGTACCTATTTTAATTACAAAAAAAATGTATACCGGACGATAGGTCGTCACGATAAAAAAAAACGCGAACCTTCATTGTTTTAAGTTTTACCAATACAAAAAGTGCACGCGGTTTTGTAAAAAAAAAAAAATGCAAAGTGGCAATTAATTTTGTGTCTACGATAACATTTCTATTTAAACCAATTAATTTGTTCATTCGAGTGTACAATAATCGTACGCATAATGTTAAAAAATACATAAGTAACTATTTTGAAATTCTCAAATTCTTGTTATTCTTTACCTACTTAATAGAAGGCTCGACCAGTCAAGTCTTTCGCGTGTAATTAAATTTTCATTCTCAGCATTTCTTAATTTCACTATACATCTCCATATCCTCATACTAATAACACTCAACCTAGCTTGTCTTTGGTCTTTACCCGTCTACCTCTTAAAATATATATTACTTATACTCGCTGATTATTTCCTCCTTCATTTTGCAACATACCCAACCCATCTAATCTATTCTCTCTCTCGTCTTATTCATCCGTTCTACACTGATCTCTCTTATATATTGCCTATACACTGACCCCATTAAATTGTACCTATGACAGCTCGCCAAGACCACTGATAAAGGCGATAAGGATAAGGCCGTCACATGAAAATGTCCTTTGAAATTTGGAATTCTCCCCCAGCCATAATCATGTCGATTCCTAGGATTTTGAACATTTTTCTACTGTACCCAGGACTTTTTTTGTTTTGGGATGGGAGGGTGTAAAATTATCTCAGATACTTGCCGATTGGATCGGATGAGTCCGTTATGATGACGTCGTAGTATTCAACGTGTTCTTCCATGAACTTGAACCCGTCGGCGATGTGCAGGTTGAGTTTGGGACTGTCGAACCCTTTGGCCATGAAAGGCAAATATTTTTTGGACACTTCGACCACTCGGTCGTCGATTTCCACCTGGTCGATAGCCTCGACCAAAGGGTGTTTGGCTACTTCTCGGGCAACGCCACCGTCCCCACCGCCCACGATCAGCACCTGTTATCCATTTTACTATGTACTAAACACGCATTCAAAGAATTCGCAGTCAACACAAGGGCGTCATTTTACTTTCTACTATTTTTGTGGTATGCAAAGTCGATTTTAAGACTGAAATAAACAGCAATGTGTGCACATTGTTCGCTCGTTCTGACCTATTCGGACTTAATCATTAAAAATTAAATTAACACTTCTTTAATAAAAACACAAAACAACTGTCAAAACTTTATTGGACGTCAAAACGAACATCTCTTTTTATGCATAGGCCGTAATGAGGAGGGGCTTGAGGGCCAAATAACTTCTTAGCCCCGCTAAAAAAAAAATGTCTTGTTTTGAACAACGTTATATTTTATTTGTATTTTGGATAATTAAAGACTGTTTAAGTATCAGAAAATATTTAATAATTAATAATTTACAATGGAAAAAATAATTAATACATTTGATGAAAGAAACAGAACAATTGTATTGAAATAAATGCAATTTTATTTTATTAAAAAAATGTTGTTTTAAACTATAATATTAAAATGTATCTAAATTGAATTATTACATATATTGTATTGTAAATCAACGGTGACTCATAATATTGCATCCCACGAAATATGACGCCCCTGACACGGTTCACCTTATATTATATATATAACTTAATAATAATAATGTGTTAGGATAATTGTATAGATACCCTTTGCGGTTTCGGGTGACTGCATAAGGGCAAAAACGATATCATTTCTTGGTAAGCGAACTCGTCGAATTCCGTGCACTGTACCATTCCGTCGAGCACAAGAACGTTGCCGTGAGACTTCCTTTAAGAAAACCAGTAACACAGGATTATGCAAAATAAAATAAAAAGTTACAGTGGAAACAGACACAACACAAATTTCACACCATTGTAAAACCAATTGCATCTCAACGCTGTATCGAAGCTAAACGACTATATTATGCTAAATATTACTTTCTAGTTACCATTTCAGTTTGTATGTATATTTTTTGCAGTAACCCCAATAGTTTGCCCAGTTGCCCAGTGATGAAAGTAGTAGCAATTATATTATTGCTTAAAACAACCACACAATATTCTAAAAAATATTGACTCATATTCTTGGACGAGATGTATTAAACGTACAGCGTGAAATGCCTCGAATTTAATTAATTCTAATTACAATATTATTTCAAAAGTACGAAACGCCTGGAGTTCATTAACGCGATAACGTTTTATCTTATCTAAGCACAATGTCCAAAATATTGGTTTCGAACCAAAATTATTACTATCGACTAATAGGCGTTGTTTGTAGAACAAGCGGAACAACATACGGTACTTTGTACATGCAACACAAATGCACCTAAGACTGTAAATTTTAAATAATTAAATTCCAGTACAGGGTGATTGATTAACTATAACCGAGTCAATAACTTAAAAAATTAAGACTTTTTAAAATAAAGAATAATTTGCTGAACGTTTTCACAGGTCGATAACAAGTATTGAATGATAACATTTAAAGTTATTAAACTTTAAAATTTAAATGGATCGCGGTTGAGTAACGTGCCAAGATACAATAACACTAGTCTTCATCCTTCTCCTCGCCCTAAATTTTTAACTTAAAAAGTTTTTTTTTTTAACCTTTATTAACTAAATATGATGGTTCAAAATTGTAAAGTAATTATTCAAAACCAGTTATGGACCAGTCGAAATGTTCGACAAATTATTCTTAAAGTAAAAAGTTAATCAAATATTATATGCGATAGCATTTAAAAAGCTCAAGTTAACAAATAAAGGTTGGGGTTATATTTTTGAAAAAAATATACCAAATTGGACCAAAAATAAAAAAGCATAATTCTTTAAAAAGTCTTCTAAGATATTGACTGGGTCATAGTTAACCGAGCACTCTGTACAACAAAATATCGAGGTGGATTGACAAGCCACGAATGTATTTATGCAAATAAGTAGTACACAATATAAGTAAGGTTAAGTTTGGTTCTGTTCGATTGGATTAGGTTTGGTCGGGTTAGGTTAGGTTTGGTTAGGTTCGACTAGGTTTGGTTTGTTTAGGTAAGGTTACGGTAGGTTCGGTTCGAATTTAATGCGTTTCCTTTAGATTAAAACGCGTTCGTGCCTTAAACAGTAGCAACTACACTGAGCTTGCAAGTTGATGCGGTTAAGGTAGGTGTACTCACGTTTTTAACACCAAAATGTCCTGGTACTTGGACTTCTCTTGGTGGAGCACCTGTTCGACTTGCATGGAAAAACATCGGCCCGGCAACAGGTCGGTGAGTTCGCTAAACCATCCTTTTTTCAACGCGTCCATGACAGCAATGACAAGTTTGTCGCGTCGGTCGGTCAAACAAAAATGCAATTTTCGTCGAGACAAACGCACCAGGCGTCGGTTGCCTGCAGTTGTGGACGACAAGACGGCAGGAAAAGCGCGCGCCTCTGGTGCCGGTAGGTAGACTAAGACTGTTTACCCGATACACTGCCGCTCGTTACTACACTGTGGCCGTCGCGCGGGTACTTAATCGTTTACGTTGGTGATTTATTTGTCGGCTTATCGGTTGACCTTCCTCACAACCGCGTACACGTAGACGGCTGGCAGACGGCTTATCGTACACGTAACGGTGCAACAACGAGTACTACAACAATATAATATTGTAATACTCGTACCTATCGAATTCAGACCATGTTGGCCCACGGCGGCTGTGTTAAGTGCCAGTAACCGCACGGGAATACAGAGTGATCCGTTTGTAGGTAACGCACTAACATTTCTTGTAAAATAATTATTGCAACATTGTAGTGTTTTTTTTTTGTTTGAAAAAATGCTTACCGAATATAGGTAAATCGAGTCCCGCATTCAAAAATGAATTTTTTTTCTAAATTTAGCTCACCCAGAGTAATTATCGCTCAGCTAACTAATAATAATAGTACTAGACCTGAATTTGTAAAGAAAGACGGTATCATTTAAAAATTTTCCCATTGGATATAAGAGTATTAATTTATAAGAATAAGATAAATATTATAAACTATCTATAGTTATATTAAGATAAACATAATTCATAAGATAATAATTTAGTTAAACAATTTGTTATAACATACTACAAAACAAAAATGTTTACTTGACTTTATTAAGTCTATCATTTAAATACTCATTCAAACTTAAACAAACCGATTACAATATTAAAATGTAAAACTTATAGTTTCAATATTGCAAATTTAAAATGTGTTTAAGACGTTTAGTCAAAAACCATTCTCTAAAAATAAAACCCAATATACATTATATGGACATAATGTTCATCCCATTTAGTGCAAAGGATTAATAATTTAAGGAGTGAGTGGATAAAGGTGTTAACTGACAATTTCAAATCTGTTCAGGAGGCAACATTTTAGTCAATATAATATATTCAAATGCTTGGAACTTTTTTAATTTTAAAGCTCAATACACATTCAACTGTTGTAATATTTTGCTACAATTTGTAATATATCCTTTTAAGTGTAATATACACTTTTATTCATTCAAACTATTTAAACTAAAACTATTAAAAAAAAAATATCAGTTAACACCTTTATTCGCTTACCACTTCAATTATGATATTCCTTAGTTTTGAATCTTATCGGTTACACAATAAGAACACCACAAAAGAAATTAGCACAAAAAAAAAAAATCAAATAAAAACCAACCATAAGTACCAAACTACTTAGAAATAGATAATCTAGTTCGACCACAAACATAATACATTTAGTTATCTAGTGTCGAGAGTGTTTCAAATACCAAATAAAATAATAAAATATACATCCTGTTATTGAACGAAAAAACAAGAGCCCTTGATTTCATTGGAGCCACTCCAAACCATATATTAATCTAAAGGAGACGTTAACCGTACTTATATATTTCAATGAGCAATACATTTCATGGGTTTCGTCAAAACACATTGCATATAATTATTTGTTTATAAAATAATAATGTAATTTGTAAAACTTTTATGTAAAAATCCAAATAATTAACTGTAAAATACCTATTGTCTAGTTTTTTTTTTTACTTAAATCTTAACACAAAAATCAAATAGACGTTTCGCAATAGTAAACGCCAAGCTTATAGTTAAAATTTTATCTTTTGGCAATTCAAAAAAAAAAAAAAAATGAACACTCAAATTATTCTTATCTTACGCTGCTAATAAAATACACTAATTAATATTATCACAGACTGAAAATAAATATTAACAAAAATCGTTTGACAAAGGTCATTTATTAAAAATATTATATAACCAATTAACGTCGACACTTCACAGCCAATGGCATTCTTTCTCGTGTAGTTCCGGATTGTCGAACAAGAACGATTGTTTCAGCAAATCTGCGGTATTGTTCTTGGTCGTTAAAACGATAGCCATTAAGGAGTGATTTTGTTTTTAAAATATTTACTATTATGTATCTATGACATTACCAACATTGTATAAAGAACGAAAAAAAAAGATTTACATTAACAGTTTCGATTTAAGAACATTCTCTTCATTTAAATGTCTACAGTCCATGTACATCAATACTCAACGCTATTTAAATGTTCACGCTATTTTGTCCGTTAAACACCATTAAGTGGACATTAAGTTTTACGCACAAAGTATTGCGGACAATATTACCTATGTCTGGGAACCTTCTATAAGTTTTTTTAGTTGCTATTAAGAAAATATTATCTAGTATAAAAAGGATATTTGTAAACCATTTTAAAGAATCCTGTTCCCAAGTTGACTGGTATACCCATGATGATACTCTCGGACACTCCGTTTATCGTATCAGTCTGTCCGTAATAAGCGGCATCGAATAAATGATCGGACGTTTTTTCAAACTATTCGATAACAATAATTAACATCAACAATTTTGTTCCATCATAGACAAGTGTTTGATTAAAAAAAAAAAAAAATCAAAAATACGTGTTAACGTTTTCCTTACCGAAGCTAGATTGAGAACGGACTCTTTCATTTTGGACAATCCAAAACGTGTGATACCCAACAGTTCACCTCGACTAGTCATCAGATCGGCAATAAGCATAGGATGCCTCGGGTCGATGGATATCCCGTGATTACTCATTACGCTATCGATTTCAGATATGATCGTCCCCCTGTACATCAAATCGTCTTAGTGTTAACAAAGATAACAACATACACCAAACGTTTGGATTACCTGGCGGCTTCTATGCCGAGTGCGTTCCACACTTGGAACGTGTTGTTGCTGGTACATTTTTTACCAATCACTCCGGGCGTGGCCATTACTTCTCGCAAGTTGTCCCCTTCGACAAGAAGTTTATAACGTGTTTCGTCGCCTTCGTCTTCTTCGTGAATAACAGCCCTGGAGACTTGGCTTATACCCTGGAGAAAAAAAAACAAACAACTTAAAACTTAGTACTCGAAATATTATGAATTTCAACTACTCGTTTACCTTAATTATGACTTTTTGTAAATTTTGCATGTACAAATTTATCCAACCGCTGATAGTTTGATTACCTTTCGACGGCAACGATATACTAATGGACGAATCGTTATCAATGTTTACTTGATTGGCTTTGATTCCGATACGAGGTGTTGTCAGGATGCTAAACACGTAAAATAGTACAGAGTTTGACACAATTAATCGAAAAATAGTTCGTTTACCTGTCTCTAATGGTTTCAATGGTGACCTCCAACTGTAAGAGTTTTATTCGATTCATGTCGACGTGAACCAAAAGATAACATTCGCTGCTTTCCAAAACCACATCGACATAACTACAAACCTAAGATAATTCAATAATGTCAATACAGAAATAACAGTAATATATTATATATTGAATATATATATAATATACTTCGGTCAAATTAGTTTGTTCGATACGACCCTTGACGATCCTCGCAAATTCTTTATCTTTGTCGTTTTCCAAGTAAGCCGTGATGATAGGCGTACTAATATTTTTACTAGAGTTTATGATTTCTTTAATTCTACAAACATATTATACAAACACTACCCGATTAATTTATGTAATTTGATTAAGGTATGCCAATGGCATTTAATAAAAGCCAGCCACACTTTTGCCTTTTTTCCCAATGGCCAAGAAAACAATTTAGCGCAAAGTCGTGGCTTTATTAAGACGCTCTACGTACCTAGGAACTCCCTGGGTAATGTTCATTGAAGCAACACCGGCAAAGTGAAACGTTTTCAATGTCATTTGAGTACCAGGCTCACCAATACTTTGAGCGGCGATCGCTCCGACCGGTGTTCCTAACAAAAACAACAACGGTCATTAATTAGATCAAATTTAAAATACAATTGAATCAAAGTCAACTAACCCGGTTCAATAACTGCGGCCATGTATTTCGAAAGACAAGTCATGTAGAACTTGATTAATTGTGTAGAGGTAATACGTTTGACTTTGGAAATTTCCAAATTTAGCCATTGTTTTCTGACTTCTGCCATACATTTTGATAGTTGTTTTCCGAAATTCCTATCAAGTCGGTAGCGGTTAGTTAATACAACCCACGTTTAGTAAAATAATTGCATATTATCAATCGTCATACCTTAATTCTTCGACAAACACTTTACTCGTGCCCACAAAACTATCTGATGCCAATACGTCTTCGGTTATTTTTAAAATATCGTCAGCGTCCAACGTACACTCATCGTAACATGGATAGTTTGCAGTAACGTTGGAGTAAACTCGTTTGAGATCAACGGGAACCCCATCGCCTGAATTTGGACAACATGCAAACTTATCAAATTACATTACACCATAGTTATCAGAAAAATATAACAAGACCTCTAAGAGATTGTGCTGTAAATCTTATGGTCCTTTTATTCTATTCGCTTTGTTATAACGTACCTTCTGTATAGGTTGGATCCAAACTGTCACCGCCAAATTCAAATTGTATAACATCTCCAAAAGCATTACGTACCGTATTGTCATAATGAACACACAAATCTTCTAAAGACTAAAAAGAAAAATTCAATAACAATAATAATATAAATATGACATAAATTACATTACCTTAACAAGCCTCCGTTGCATGTATCCGGTTTCGGCAGTTTTAACCGCTGTATCGACTAGACCTTCGCGGCCACCCATAGTGTGGAAGAAAAACTCTGTTGGCGTCAAACCGGAATAAAAACTATTCTCCACAAATCCTTTGGCTTCTGGAGTTTTGGCTAGAGAAAAAAGAAAATCGTAAAAGTTTGAAACATAATACACGAGACGATAAATAGCTAAATGTAAAAACTTACAAAATCGTTTGAAATGTGGCAACGATCGAGATTCAAACCCATCCGGCACACGATGTCCGCTTAAAGCTTGCTGACCGACGCAAGCAATCATTTGGGATATGTTAATATTTGATCCTGGAAAACAGTGACGATAAGAAATTTACTGTACGATTTGTAAAATATGTACGTCAAGCCATTCGACAAATAACAGGCTTTAGTATATTTTATTCTATTAAAGTACATAACGTACCTTTAGATCCGGAAAGAGCCATAACCAACGGCCCGTTGGTAAAATGAAGTTCTTGTAGACAGGCTTTACCGACAGAATCTCGAATTCCAGACAACTGCTTCAAAATATTGGCCTCCAACGTTTCGTCCATATTACAACCGGGTTGACATTTCAATTCCTTTGTGTTTCTCAATCGGATATTTTCTTCGCACTTTGCGTTCCTAAAAAAAATATAGAACATTTTGTTTATCGGAAAATCCAATAGCGCAAACAAATATAATTTTACCATTACCCATTTATAACAAGTTCATTTTTTGATTTAAGTAATTCGTCACTAGGTGTCACGTCGCCGATGCCGATGGAAAATCCTCTTAACATCAAAAAGTACGAAGTGAGGCGTGTTAACCGCCACATTACTTTACAACAAGTGTCTGATCCCCAATCGGCCAACAAAATATAAAATATATTGGACTTGCTGCCCGAACCCAAAGTCGCTTTGTCCATCGTGCCCGCAAGCAGTTCCGAGTTTCTTATATAAACGTCTATAAAAAAAATTAATATTTTTAAAACATACTTAAATTTGTACAAGAGACTTTTGTACTCACACGAGTCTCTATAGCAAAACTCATTATCATGCGTGTACGATCTTCCTTTGCATTGTAAATTTGCTTTGACGGGGCAATTTATACTCGGTCTCATAATTATACTGAATATTTGTTTGCCAGTCCACAGTTTGTAAGGCTGTAAAATAAAAAAAGATTTTTAATAAAAAATAAAATTGAGAAAAACATTTTTTATTTTTATTGACCTTATAGATAGCTGGAGGCGGTAACGTTAAATTAATATTGACGTCGTCGCCAGACATTAACCAACCGATCAATCTACTGGCGTCTCTGCGGTTGAGAAAAGTATTTTTGTGTGTTAATAAATATGCGCCCGTAATGAAATCTTGAGTTGCGGCAATAAGAATATCACCGTTTCTCGGAGTCACCAAATTGGATTTGTTCTAAAACAACAATAAAAATGCAATGTGTAATATAAACATGGTAGTCAAAGTTGTACACAATACATAACAATATTTATTATTTTTGTCAACCTGCGACTCATTAAAAATATTTAAATACTTTTCAACTTACAATCATGAGCAGGCCGGCTTCAGCTCTAGCTTCTTCGGTTTGTGGCAAATGTAAGTTCATTTCATCCCCGTCGAAATCTGCATTGTAAGGCGTACAAACACATTCGTTAAACCTAAAAACGAAATAACGTTTTATTATATTTATATATATATATCTGAGTATTATTAGCGATTTAATCTCCAACCGTAAAGTGTTGTGTTCCAAAACTTTTGCTCGGTGACACATAATACTTAATCGATGAAGACTAGGTTGCCGATTGAACAACACTATATCGCCGTCGGCCAGATGTCGTTCGACAATATCTCCTATCTGAATAAAAGTGATTTTTTAAAAAGTATAAATATTTATTGATTTATTTCGATTTTGAAATGTATAAAATATTTAAAGTCTGTTTACCTTTAAGTCTTTAGCTATGGCCGGTCTGTTGCCGAACCGCAAATATTTTTTCAACTTTGAACCTTGAAGTTCGACAAAATTAGCCCCCGGATGGATTTCCGGACCGTTCATGACTAGCTTTCTCATTAGTTCTATGTTAGCTGGACACACTTTTTGAGGATACGTCAAAATCTTAGCCATCCGAACCGGAACGCCCACCTAAAAACCAGAAGATGTTGTATTTAATTAATTTTACATAAATCAAACTTCAAACAAATACACGAGAAATAATTATCGATCGTAAATACTTCATCAATTCGGAGATTAGGATCCGGCGATATTACAGATCGAGCAGTGAAATCGACTCTTTTGCCGGATAAATTGCCTCTAAATCGGCCGTGTTTACCTTTTAAACGTTGTACACATCCTCGCGCGATTTTTTTCGGCTATAAGAAAATAATAAAAATACAAGTCAATAATAAACGAAGTGAGCGTTTATAACTAGAGACTCTAGTTAACCAGCTATTCGGGTACTATCAAGGTGCTTTTATTTACCATCATTGTCCGTGAAACACCTGACAAATCACTATTAATGTACAAAGCACAATGTAACTGAAGGTACTCCCAGTCCTCGTGCAACAACTGAGGTTTTGCACCAGACTGTTTGTGTTTGACAATAACTTCATTTATAAACAACACTTCAGATAGTTTTAATGTCAGATCGTCTTCATTCCTGCAAAAACAATTGAAAATATTCATAAAACTCAAGAAATCCAAAGTAGTACATACGTTCCGGAACGGATATCGGAAACTGCAGACGGCCGAATACAGTTTGGAGGAACTAGCATTCGAGTCATTAACAACCAGCCAGGATTCGATAGTTCAGGATTCATGCCCAGTAGTATAACGTCTTCGTACGGTATGGATAACAGTAAGCGCAATACTTCTTGAGGGTTTAAACTTTCATTAAACAAATAGTTTCTCATGGATTCGACTTCCTTGTTGAACTTGACCACATCGTTCAAAGCACCTATACACGGATACCAGGTAAACATTTACAGATTGCACGCATACAACTTATTATACTAAGACAAATGTTGTTTTACATACATAATTTGCTTTCAGCTTCGGCACCCGGTTTTTTATATCGATATCGATCATAGGATATCTTCAAAATACCATTTTTTTTTACCTGTCCAACAATGTCGTTACAAAATGGACAAATTTGTACTTTTTTGGCTTTGGCATGCACTTCTTTGAAAACTTTTTTTCGCATGGTATATGTTAAATTCTTATTCCTAAGTTTCGTATAAAACAACATTCTGTCCTCTTCACTAAGCAACACTTTAGCGCAAAATGGATTCTGAAAGTCATAAAAAATGCCACATCTTAAATGGAAAAACAATAATATAGATAAATAATAAACAACATTAGAGCACATACTTTACAAATTGTCTGCAGTATTGTAATGACTGAACTGAAAAATCCTACATGAAAGACCGGTAACTGTAAGTCTATAAATCCCAAATGTCCGGGACAATCGTTGAGTCCTTTATTGCACGTCTGGCATGTGGCATCTTTTTGGTTTACACCCTAACACAGACATTAAAACAAGTTTCTTACAAAATAAAATTACAGTAAAAAACTAAAACTATTATCATTAATAATTCCAACCAGTTTGTGATCAAGTACGCCGAACGGATGAGGGGTGCGGGAAGCGGTGCTATTGTTTACGGCGTAAAGATTTCTAGTGTTGACGCAAATATGAGATTTTCTTTGAATGTCTTGAGGACTGTCGACGGTAAAACTGATTTTTGATCTATAAGAACATCAATATAAACGTAAATGTACCTGCTAAATTTAAATATTCAACACCATTCATACATAATACGTGATCCGTCCGTGTCTCTATACTGCTCCTTGACCATATTTGATTTTTTTTAACAAGCAGCGATTCGGTTAAAAGGAATAAATTGAATTAGGTAATCTTATTCTAGGATTTCTGTGATGAAAATTAATATATGTTTACTACAGAGAACGTTCATTATTACAGCTCTTTATTTAATAATATACATAAGAGATGACCGATAATAATAATGAATAAAAATAATTTTACATTATACCTACATAAACAAATACAAAAAAATATAACAGAAGAGAAGCAAATCAGTTGCTGCAGACTGCACGTGAGAATGTCGGCGGTAATGATAAGCTGAATGTTGATAACGAAGTTGTGATTTCAAAAGCGTGATGTGATAACAGAGGTGGTTGTTATCACACGGAACGTGCATAGAGCGAAACGTTTCAGTGTGGCTACTTGAAGGGAAAAAAATTAATATTTAGTATCGAGTACTGTCTAAAAACGCGCTCGGTTACGTTTTCATCTCGAAAATCCATTGCAAGTGAAGTTATAAAAATAATCATAACTCGTGATATTTAAATTACACAATACTTTTTGTACAAACAATAACCTATCTACGACGACTCAGCCTTCAAACCTAGTCAATAATCCAAAACCGTAAACATATTATGTATGTTAACTTTATACATAGCCGTAACAGCTTAAAGTACATACATTTAAAATCATTTATTAAGTTGACTGGCAAGCTATATGAGAAATTTGGGCTCTTGAGAGTTGAATATGATACTCAAGCCAGTCAACTCAAATAATGGCACGTCAAAAAATTGTCAAGAAAATATTTTCACGCCACATAACACTTGAACACACACCGCAGTAGAACAAAAACATAAATCATTATTAATTCTGTATACAATATTGCATGGTCAAACAAACACATATCCATAAACATTTTATAGATAAATAATATTAGCATAGATTAAATATGATAAAAATATAATGTAAGTACACAATTTTAAACTGTTTTTCTGAAACAAACTTTTTAATTTTTTTAAATACTAACAACAACCAACAATATACAATTAGAACATAATGACGTCTTGAATTTACAAAATGTAATTGTATAATTTAAAATATATTGTTGGCTTGGAATTTAATTGAACCAACACTAGATATGTACAATGTTTTGCATATTAGGTTGTTAAGTATTTTAAATTCTCCGTTCACTTGTTTTGCATTTGAATGAAAATCAGCAAATATGAAATTATAGTCCCAATCACCTAAAAATCAATCAAACTTGTAAGTCTACAATACACCTAGTTGGTAAAATATTTCTAAATTAAACAATTCTGTTCATTCCAATGAAGTTTCAACCCTATAGAGTGTAGAGACTCGTAGTTTAAAGATATTAAAATTTAATACTCAAGCCAATTGTAATTGGATACAAAAATATAGGTATGTATTTTGGAAAAAATTATAAAGATTTTAACATTGAACTAATTTTCTTGTCGACTGCACTTCTCTTACTCGTTGGTAGTCTGTCATTACTTATTCATTACTATACCAATAAAAAAACAGGTTATACCTACTTTTGTTATTGTAGATCTTTGTAAATCCACAATTCCACAAATTGAAAAATGAACTTTATGCTTGTGCAATTGAAGTACAAATAGTTCTAACTGTAACACAAACGACTAAATAAAAAAGCGTCTATTAGATAGTCCAAATAATTATAGTAAGAGGACAATTTTTAGCAGAAATTAAAAAAAAATAAAGTACCTCTTCTTATAAAAAGTATATCTCCGTATCTAATCTAAAAACATTTCAATTTTATTTGTTTTTAAAATTTTTTATATTTTTACATTTACTTGAAATCAAAGAAATTAATTAAATATTGTGGGTTGTCTGATCGTTATTCTCTACAAAATACCTACTTTAGCGGGTAGATTGATGAGAATTGTATTTATAAATATAAATTTTACTACTTTGAAAATACCCGTTTTATGTCGTCCGGTACAAAATAACCGTTTAGATGTCTACATACGATGACAGCTGTTGTTTCAGCCTATAAAAAGCAATAACAATGGTTACTTATTTCGATATATTAAAATATCATTGAATTTTATACTCTTGAGGCAGCGTACGACGAGGGCAGCACCATTAAAAATAAAAATGATAGGTGACAAATAACCCAACCAACAAGGCTTATTGTAAATCCGTAGTTTTGTGACCCATGCAACTTCGTGTTCAAAACATTTGTTATTAGGATATTCGGAATGAGTATAAGTCTTATTATAGTCATCAATAAACCCGTTAATAGTATCCAACCGTAATGGCGGTTTAAAATGTTTACACTGTAGCAGAGATTCCAGTAAATTTCTTGGTATGTTTTAATAGGAATAAATTTCACGTCTGAAATTAAAGTATGACAGCAGTTAAAAAAAAATGTAGTTGTAATATGTTTACAGCATTATTATAAGAAAATATAGTCTCTGTCTGATATCATGTTGCGTATCTTATTTGTTCACATTCAGAATTAACAAATATTAAGTAGGGAAAGACCTTTTTGGGGGTAATGTAACACTTACATACTAAACAAAATTGGATGTGTAGGCCTGGTGCAAAGTAAAATGTATGCTTGTCAAACATACAATACTAGATTCATGTGTGTGATTAATAGAAGGAACGGAAAATTGTAGAAAATTTTAACGAGTGCCCACCTTTAGTGAGGTTGTTGGAGCAACGGAGTAGATACGACAAGTTGTGGTGTTGGCGATTTGGGAATTCGACGCGGTTGGTCGACGGCAACCGTTCGAGCTTGGCCTCGATCTCGCTGTTGATAATGTCGAACCGACGACCTATGCACCAAGCCAGCTGCGCGTACACGGCCACCGACACCAGGTTGACGTACAGTAACATGTAGACTATAAAGTAGCTCACGTTGGTCGGATCGAACTTTACCCAGTTATGGTAGTCGACTGCAGACACCGCCGCTTGAACGCAAACCAGCCAGACGGTACACCGCTCGACGCGTTCGTCGGCCGCCGTGCATCCGCGTCTGTCGAGCGCCTCGTCCACGCGGTCCAGCAAGCGCTCGATGTCCAGCCAAGCGGCCTGCCGGGACGCCGAACCGAACACGGCTATCGCGCAAGGCACGACCAACATGGTGTAACAGACGCACGCGACCACCGCAACGGTGGCGTTCTTGAAGCGAATGGACTGACCCTTTCGAAACGAATTCAGTTCACCCAGCAACGACGCGTAGCCGCAAATCGCCAACAGGGTTATTGCGAACACGTTGAACGCATACAGCTTTGCACTGAACTCTTCGCCGCCGGTGGCCGTCGGTCCGACAAACCGCACCGGATAGATCAGAGCGGCCTTCGCCAGTTTCGTCAACGACTCAGGAATAGCAGTTCGCCGTTTTGCCTTTTCTGGGTCGATCATATTTATCGGAACCGACATAATCTATTGAATTTGTTTAATATTATTTACCATTGTTTTTTTTTTTAATATTATGTTTTACGTAGGTAACACGATCTGGTATTGTATTATTACAACAGTCCTTTGTGTGGTTTGTTCTTTTCGCATTTAAAAGGAAATACGGCAAGGAAAAGACGGATCTTCCTGTTCAAAATCGAGAAAAAACCTTAAAAATCGTTAGGATAAAAATGTATAATTTTTAAATAATCGAATTAGTTTCAAATTTATATAGAATACTCTTTAGATATAGTAGGTACGGTAGTATACAAAGTAATAACATAAATAGTTAACAAAATCATTAACCGTCTCCCGTAATACATTTTTCAATAATGTGTATGGCATGCACGGTAATATAATCAGAGAGAAATTCAAGCTTATCACTATACCATCATGATACATGATGTTATATTATAAAAGAAAGCAAAACAATTAAATGGAATAAGAATAATTGTAAGTAAAATTTTTGGTATTTCGAATATTTAATTAGGTTATATTAATTATTTTAATTTAATCGGCCGTGTAAAAATTAATAAATATAACAAATAAATTGCCCTTTTAAATATATTATAATTTTGTATTCAACAGCCTACTACGCAAATAACAATATTATTACGATTTTCATGTACCCTGTCGTAGTTTCCGGAAGTTCCGTGAAGTTATGAACTTTAATTGTACTTTTAATACTTGAATAGGAAACTTAGATGTATTTTGAGGTAATTTAAATAAACACAATCACCGTGCTTACTATAAGAGTCGCGTGTGCACAGTCCTCAAGTCAAAAACTAAAGACGAATAAATATTAAGTTATCATATATTAACTACGATAGTCCTTTTGATGCGGCTAACAACCGAATAATTCCCAACAAGTTTGCTATTTGTTAACAATGCAGGGCTATTTCCGCTATAGAAGAATTTTGTTTCGAACTCTTTTTAGTTTTTAACAATAGTCTCTATTAGAACAAAATAATTACACATGGACGGACATGACCTTGTCATATTATTCTTTATAGTGCTGGGGTTTTGTATGCCCTTTTGAATAGAATACAAAAAACCTCAACTAACCATCAACCGTTATAAGTCAGGTTAGTATAGCAAATTGAATAAATTAATATTAGCAATTGTTATAATACAAAAATGTTTATTTTTGTTGTCGATCCTTAATATCGCACACCCCTCACCGCGTTTCATGTTTTGGAACTTCGCCCTACTCTAATTCTTCGTCGATTACTCTTTATTTATTTTTTTTTTTTTCAAACTATAGATTCTAAAATATACATCATAAATTATAATAAGGTCGGTGTTTATTTTAAGTACTTTAATTATTAAAATTTGATCGGCTGGAATATTTGTGAATTTTTAAAATCGAAAGCCTTTATAAATGTATAATATTTTTAATTCAAGTGCCTATTACGCAAATATTATTATTACCACGATTTTAATTGTTGCAGTTTGTCACAATTTTCTAAATTTAAATTGACAATTTTAAACTGTTTTTCTGAAACACACTTTTATTTTTTTTAAATACTAATAACAACCAACAATATAAAATCAAAACATAATTACGTCTTGTATTCACAAAATGTAATTGTATAATATTTAAAATATATTGATTGCTTGAGTATTAAATTAAACCAATACTAGATATGTACAATGTTTTGTATATCAAGTTATTAAATAGTTGAAATTATCCGTTCACTTGTCTTGTAATTGAATGAAAATCAGCAAATATGTAATGATAGTCGCAATCACCCGGAAACGAATGAAACTTGTAAGTCTACAATCCACCTTATTGGTAAAATATTTCTGATTAGACTCCCAAGTCAAAAATAATAAAATGTAATAGCCTAAATGCACTTCTCTTACTCGTCGGTAGTATGCCTTAACTTATTCTATCGAAGCTAAAACAGTGTATACCTACTTTTCTTATTGTAGATATTTGTAAATCCACGATTCCACAAATTAAAAAATTTACCTTATACTTGTGCAATTGAAGTACAAATAGTTCTAACTGTAACACATACGATTAAATGAGTAAGCATCTATTAGACAGTCTAAACAATTACAATTTATTGAAAAGGATATAGATATACCAAAAGGAAGATTCTTGGGGGAAATTCAATAATTAAAATAATGATTTTAGGTTACCTTTTCTTACAATATTTGCGTAGGTATCTAATCTAAAAACATTGCTATTTTTATTTATTTTTTTATATTTATTTGAAATGAATTTAACATTGTAGGTAATTATTTTATACTACTAAGTACCTAGTTTAGAACGTCGATTGATGAAAATTTATATTTATGTAATATATTTTACTACTTTAAAAATACCTGTTTCATGTCGTCCGACACAAGATAAACGTTTAAATGGTTACATACAATGACAGCTGTTTTTTCGGCCTGTAAAAAGCAATAACAGTGGTTATTTCGATATTTTAAAATGTCACTGAATTCTGTACTTTTGAGACTGCGTACGAAGAGGGCAGCACCATTAAAAATAAAAATGATAGGTGACAAATAACCCAACCAATCAGGGAAATTGCGAATCCGTAGTTTTGTGAGCCAAGCAGCAACATATTGAAAACACCCGACAGTAGGATATGGGAAAGGATTATAATATTTATTATGTTCATCAATAAAATCGTTAATAGTTGCCATCCGTAATGGTGGTTTAAAATGTTAACACTGTGGCAGAGACTCCAGTAAATTTCTTGAAATTTTTTAATAGGAATATATTTTATGTCTGAAACAAAAAAAATGCAAACATTTAAAAAAATAAGATAGTAGTATACATTTTTTTATGTAAGTATAATAGGTATACAATTTACGAACATCGATTGGTGACAAAAAGCTGCTACTTAGAGTTAAAGGAAAATTGGACTGTATTGGGCGCTGGGCACATTTAATAAATGAAAGAGAATAACAATATACATCAAAATTTGCCACAAAAGCTCTGTTGTTATAATATTTAAATTATAATTAATTAACTGTATAGTGTGTATCTAAAAGATAAAAATAAAAAACAAATTTGAATAGATATAAAAATGATTAATAAAAAAAAATAATAATAGTAGTCTATTATTACTACTATATTATATATTAATGTTATTCTTATATTTGAAACAACAGTAAAATAATATTGTGATATTTTTTATATATTATATTAGAAATGTGTGAATTATAATTTAAAACAACTTTACAGCTTTTAAGGATATTGCATGCGGTCAGTTTTTAAGAAGTTTTGTATATATCAATTGTTTAATAAATTTAGACTGTGTCAATTAATTTACCGGTTAGTTTGTATAAACTTCAAAGTATTAGTTTATTATAAATAATTTTTTCTGTAATAATATATACGAGTAATATCTCTAAACAATAATATTTGATGATAAACAATAATTTTTCCATAATATAACAAAGGATTTTGAGCGAAGAGCTTGATATTTTTTTGGGGTCATTGACTATTACAAACTCACTTTTAATGCGGTTTTCGGAGCAACGTAGTAGATAAGACAAGTGTTGGTATCGTCGGCTTGGGAATTCGACGAGGTTGTTCGACGTCAACCGTTCGAGCTTGACCTCGATCTCGCGGTTGATGATGTCGAACCGACGACCTATGCACCAAGCCAACTGCGCGTACATAACCAAAGACACTCGGTTGACGTGATCGAATATAAAGACTATAAAGTAGCTCTTGTTGGTCGGATTAACTTTCAGCCAAGTGCAGTAGTCGACCGCGAACACCACCATTTGAAGGCAAACCAGCCAGATCGCACACCGCTCGACGCGTTTGTCGGCCACCGGGCAGCCGCGGCTGTCAAGCGCCTCGTCCACGCGGTTCAGCAGACGCTCGATGTCCAGCCACGAGGCGTACCGAGATGCCGACCCGACCACGGCTATGGTGCAAGACAACACCGTCATGGTGTAACAGACGCACGCGATCACCGCAACGTAGACGTTATTGAAGCGAAGGGACAACCTTTCCAAACGAATTGAGTTCACCCAGCAACGACCAATAACCGAAAATCACCAACGCGATTATCGCGCACACGTTGAACGCATAGAGCTTTGGACTGAACTCTTCGGCGCCGGTGGCCGTCGATCCGCCACACCGCACCGGAAAAATCAAAGCGGTCCTGGCAAGTTTCGTCAACGGTTCAGAAATAGCAATCCGCCGTTTTGCCTTTCCCATTCCGGTCGGCCCACTCCGGTTCATATTTATCTTATGATTTTGTTTTAATACTTAACTGGTGTTATATTACTACAAACGTCCTTTGTGTAGTTTGTTCTTTTCGCGAGACCAACGGGAATAATTATCAAACTAGGTACCTGCTAAGCGGTGTAGTGCTATGCGCCCTATATTATATTGTATACCTAGAAGTCCTGTCTAGACTATTGTTGACTATTTAATTTTTTTTGTTTAACAATAGATTCTAAAATAAACATAATATATTATCAAAAGGTAGACGTTGCGACGTTGGATTACGGTAACGAAAAATATACAACGCAGATATTTAGCTTCGGTTATTTAGCTAGGTATAGTTTAACTAGGATGGTTTGTGTAAAAGAATAGGTATGAATGAGTAAGTCAATAAGTATCTTAAAATTGTTTTCATTACTTTATGATAAATGGGTATAACGGATACCACTATATAATATGATCCGTCCCCAATATGAACCCAATTAGGATTTTTAATATAATAACAAATGTCAATAACGATTTCTTGTCTTGCTGAACCTCATGAAAGCTGGAAAATTCCATACAAATAAAAGACATTGTTTTGTTTGGACACAAAAGAAGTTTTTTGACAGTTTACCATATTATCATAGTTAGATTAGAATAAAACATTAAATATTTAATCTAAAATATTATGAAAAAACTTGATAAAAATATTAAAAATATTAATTATAAACAAATTTATTTTGTTTATTAATAAATTCATATGGACAATGTCCAATTTACAATATATTAGTATAGATAACAATAGTATAATATAATTAAAAATAATAAGATATAACATAATAATAGATAAATAGAATAATACATAGGTTTATTAGAACAATGTTTATTAAAATAATTGTCTATATCCAGAAGATATTAAAATATTAATTGGGTCGTTTGACGTATACTTTTTAGAAAAATAAGGATTATAAAATAAATGATAGTTGCGAATGTAGTGGTTATTAACTTTTAAATTTAATTGACTTAATAAAAATGAATCATCAATATCGTTATTTAGCATTTTGGAGAGAAAGGTGTTGTATGATAATATATTTATAAGTATTTTAATGTTTCTAAATTTAATATTTTTTAAATGTTTTTCGTAATCAGTGTGAGGAATTCTTTGAATATTACATTAATTATGACATATAAATCTGAGGACTTTATTTTGCACTTTTTCAGTTGATCATTTTGTCCTGCACTGTAATGATCCCAAATTAATGAAGCGTATTCTAATAAGGAATTTGGAGGAAAGTAGATACAACCCACAATTCTATTTGTTGTGTTCAACCAATCTGAATGCTTTCTTTTCATAAACTCTCAGTACCTTTAGATAGGTAGGTATGTTGCTAAAGTTCAAATAAAAGTGTTAAATGTTGTTTTAATCGCAGACACAACACATTTTATCAAAAAAAACCTAACCTTCAAAATCGAGTCAATATTTCAAAAACACCAACATGTGTATGTTAAAAAATGTTAACTATAAACTTAGACTTAGTCATAACAGTATTTTATAATTATATAATGGTAGTAATATATAAGTACGATAAAAAAAAATGTAAAAACACAATTCAAAACGGCTTTTCTAACACACACTTTATATTTCTTTTAATACAAACAACAATTAACAATATCAAATTAGAGCATAATGACGTCTTGAATATACAAAATGTAATTGAATAATTTAAAATATATTGTTGACTTGAGTATTTAATTGAACCAATACTAGATATGTAAAATGTTTTGCATATTAGGTTATTATGTAGTTTAAATACTCCGTTCACTTGTTTTGTAATTGAATGAAAATCAGCAAATATGAAATGATAGTCGCAATCACCTGAAAATCAATCAAACTTGTAAGTCTACAATCTACAACCTAGTTGGTAAAACATTTCTAGAATACATTTTTTTTCAATCCAAAAAAGTTTCAACCCTGTTGAATGTAGAGACTTCTAGTTTAGAGGTATTAAAGTGTAATATTCAAGCCAATTGTAATTGAATGAAAAAATATACCTATGAGTTAAATGCTATTACAAACGAACGTTTACAGCGACCCGACGCTGATTTTTTTGAAAGCTACACTGCATGTTTGTTACAGTAAAAATAATGTTCTTAAATTTTTTTTTCAGAAAGTTGAGATAATTTCACATAACATGAGTAAATTTCAAACTAGGTTCTCTATAAAAACAAAAAAAAGTGGTGAAATTTCATAGAAAAGTCTGTAGTCTGCCATTACCTAATCATTACTATATCAATAAAAATAAAAGTGTATACCTACTTTTCTTATTGTAGATATTTGTAAATCCACGATTCCACAAATTGAAAATTTTACCTTATACTTGTGCAATAGTAGTACAAATAGTTCTAACTGTAACACATACGACTAAATGAGTAAACGTAATAGACTAAATAATTATAATTTATTAAAAAAGATATAGATAATGCAAGAGGAAGATTCTTGGGGGAAATTCAATAATTAAAATAATGATTTTAGGTTACCTTTTCTTACAATATTTGCGTAGGTATTTAATCTAAAGACATTGCAATTTTTTTAAATAATATTTGTTTATATTTATTTGAAATTAATTTATACAATATTGTGGGTCATTATTTTGTACAAAATACCTAATTTAGAACGTCGATTGATGAGAATTGATATTTATAAATATTTTTACTTCTTTTATAAAATACCTGTTTCATGTCGTCCGACACAAAATAACCGTTTAGATGTTTACATACTATGACAGCTGTTTTTTCGGCCTGTAAAAAGCAACAACAATGGTTACCTATTTTGATATTTTATAATGTTATTGAATTCTATACTCTTGAGGCAGCGTACGATGAGGGCAGCACCATTAAAAATAAACATGATAGGTGACAAATAACCCAACCAATAAGAGCAATTGCGAATCCGTTTTGTGAGCCATGCAACAACATATTTAAAACACCCGTCAGTAGGATATGCGGAAGGATTATAAGATTTATCATTTTTGTCAATAAAATCAACAATAGTTGCCATCCGTAATGGTCGTTTAAAATGTTGACACTGTAGCAGAGACTCCAATAAATTTCTTGAAATGTTTTTATAGGAATATATTTCACGTCTGAAATATAAATATAGAAACATTTTAAAACTGAGATAGTGTTACCAAAATACATATATTTTTTCGCTGTTAAGATTTATATTTAAGTAATTTTGTTTTGTTAAACAATTATAATATGAGATAAGATTTGAAATGTCAGAACAGTGGAGTCGGGGCAATATGGGGACGAGGCATAGTGAGGTCGGTGTGGTGAATGACCTTAAAATTAAAACTGAGAGTATTGAAATTGCTCCTAGCGTAAATTTTGGTATACAACATATATTTAATACTACTAGTTTTAACAAAATGTATGGTATATGTGATATAATATCTCTGAACCTTAATGTTTGATGAAAAACAATAATTTTTGCATAATATAAAAGAGGATTTTGAGCAAAGAGCTTGATTATTTTGGGGCTATAACTGTTACAAACTTACCTTTAGTGAGATTGTTGGAGCAATGGAGCAGATAGGATAATTGTTGGTATCGTCGGCTTGGGAATACGACGAGGTTGTTCGACGTCAACCGTTCGAGCTTGATCTCGATCTCGCGGTTGATGACGTCGAACCGACGACCTATGCACCAAGCCAACTGCGCGTACACGGTCACCGACACAAGGTTGACGTGATCAAAGATGAAGACTACACAGTAGCTCTTGTTGGTCGGATTGATCTTTAGCCATGTGTAGTAGTCGACTGCGAACACCACCATATGAAGGCAAATCAGCCAGATCGCACACCGCTCGACGCGTTTGTCGGCCACCGGGCAGCCGCGGCTGTCAAGCGCCTCGTCCACGCGGTTCAGCAGACGCTCGATGTCCAACCACGCGGCGTACAGGGATGCTGACCCGACAACAGCTATGATGCAAGACAATACAATCATGGTGTAACAGACGCACGCGATCACCACAACGGGGAAGTTATTGAAACGAAGGGATTGACCTTTTCGATACGCATTCACTTCACCCAGCATCGACCCGTAGCCGCAAATTGCCAACGCGATTATCGCGCACACGTTGAACGCATAGAGCCTTGGACTGAACTGTTCGCCGCCGGTGGCCGTCGATCCGCCAAACCGCACCGGAAAAATCAAAGCTGTCCTGGCAAGTTTCGTCAACGGTTCAGAAATAGCAATCCGCCGATTTGCCTTTTCCAATCCGGTCGGGCCGTTCATACTTGTCTATTGAATTTTTTTAAATATTTTTATACAACACAATCTGGTATTATATTACGGCAAACGTCCTTTATGTGGTTTGTTCTTTTCGCCAACAAGAATTATTAAATTACGCACCTGCAAGAGATGTAGTGCTGTGCTCCCTCATACATATGTATTGTATACTTAGTTGTTATGCCTGAACTTTTTTTTTTTTTTACAATAGATTCTACAACAAACATAATTAATTATGAAAAGGTAGACATTGTCACTCTGAATTGTTATTATTTTATCGATTGCAGTAACGAAAAATGTAGAACACATTATTTTATTTACCCTTAACTGTGTCACGTTTTCTACTGGGGAGTATTTAATATTAATCATATCAGAGGGCCGATATTGCCGACGTTTGAAATGGCAAATCCAACAACACGTTGCAATCAAAACCATTGTAAATGTTAATGTGACCTTCGCCACTGGGTGCGACAGTGTATTCACCAGGAAAATACACGTGGATTATAATTAAAGCCAACAAAACGTTCCAAGCTTAACGGGGCTTACGAATATTTTGCACAGCGGCAATGGCAAACGATTTGACCGCAAGAATTTCAGAAAAAGTTTTTGCCGAGCACATTTTATTCCAAATTTAGATAAAAACGGTTATAGGATGAGGTCAAATAATACCAAAAACATCAATGGCTTGTCGGGAATTTTACTTGTCAATCAAGTGTACCAGAATCATATATATATATAATAAATAAAAATTATTCCTTCTTAAACTATTATACATTATTATTATTATTATTAGCATATTATTAATTATGTTGTAATTTTTAAAGAATTGCTTGTTTAAATATGTACTTATAATCAGTAGATATATAAACTAAATATTTACAAAACTTATTTATTTAATATAATAAAAAGTATCTAAGTAGGTATAGGTTTAGAGATATACCTAGTAATATCTCATTTATAACGAAATATTATTTAGTGTTTTATTATTAATGTTTAGACAATAAAATATTGATCTCCATTTAGTTACATATAATTAGAGAACAAAATTTTAAAAGTCAAGTTTTTATCTTATAAATATATTATGGTTTTTCGTCTTGTTCCATATCAAAGTGATTCTCAGTTATTTCGTCATCGTGAAAATTCTTGTACTTGTAGTTAGCATTTAAGTAAATCAATAAAATCGTGTCTATAAACATCAGCCCGGAATACAGTAGATATTCATGAACCTATATGACAGTAAATTTCAAACATGTCAAATTATCAAAAATATAATGCCATTCGAAAGTAAATTGTATGTTTCTCACTTGACTTTTGAACGATATTGCAGATATTATTACTACCAATAAATTACCGACTGATTGAGTTAACGAATAGGAAGCCGATATGAACGATTTGATTCTCGGCGGAGCCTAAAAAATAATTATAAGAGTTTTACTCATTATACTGTCAACAAGTTACGATTTGCCTAGGTCTATGTAAGAGTTGATAACTAAACATAAATCGATCTGAGTTTGCGGCGACGCGGCACTTTGAATAAAATACATTTTAAACCCAATATTCAATGATTGTGTTTTTAGTAAAATAAATTCTTACTTCGGTAAAAGATAATTCAATAGTCGTAGCGCCAAAAATTACATCGGCCATAATCATAACTAAATACTGCGGCGACTGCCATAAGATGTGAATATAACTTCCTTCGTCCATTGAAAACAATTTTACATCCTTTAAATCATTTCGTTGCTCATTAGTTTACATACATTAAACGCAGTATAGGAAAAAAAGTACTAAGTTAGTTCGCCCAAGAGAGGTATAGATAAATTTATGCTTTTATATATTTGACTATTTGAGGAAAAGGAGTAATCACCATTTTACCATCGTTTCTCTGAACTAAAACTAGAGTATAGAAAGTAGTCGGTGTAAAACTTAAGTTGTTGCATACGATTTTACCATCATGAACTAACTCATAGCTAAAAAGGATATGATATATTATACAGTTATGAATTATTCAGGTACAAATTATTTTCTCAGAATGATTAACTTACTCTCCAAAATGCACATCCTTAAAATATCCTCCGGTATACGAATTAATATTATAAGGAATCCTTGAGTTGCCATTCTTGCTGATTAATTCAAACGTTTCGTTTTCAAAAATATTTTTACTGGTTAAAACTCTGAATTAAACATTTAAAATAAATTTTAATATAGTTTCAAAGTGGTAAAAAGTTGTGATTCTGTTAATCAATTTAACTAAATATGTCGTTAACGCTTATGTTAATCTCTACGGAAATCGAGTGGTTTAGTGATTGACATGATGCTATTAGTGAAAGCCAACATTTTTTTAATTTAATTATAATACATTTGAATATACCTAAGCTTAGAATCGCCGTGTTTTGACTTGGATAGGTCACCGTCGTGTCGATTGATGCGGTTCAAGACTACATCGCCGGTAACAGTTCTTGTTAGAAAATAAGATACAGACTAAACATAAAATGCTATAAGCAATACAAAATGCATACAGCTATTTTTATGCAGTTCTTGAAATATCAATAAATAATTTATATTATATTCTTCTTAGAATGTAAGTACGCATTAATATTGTTAAGATAAACTTGTTTTCTTTGTAAGCAAAATATCATTGCGCGATTTATATTAACCAATCGAATGTGTTTAAAGTAAATCGAGTGTTAACTGACGTCAATAGTAATATTGCATTTTTCTAGAATATTCTTTGGTCTTATATAAAAGAGGAATCGGAGGATTTCTCACTCACTCACTTTTTCACATGATGTTCGTGTAAGCTAACTGTGAATAACAAGTCTTTAACTATTACTTTATTTTATTGGTCGTAGTGAAATATTACTTTATCATTATTGCTATACAACTTGTGTTAATTCTTATTTTGTCTAAATCCACTCAACACTCAAAGGCCAACAGCGGTATAATATACTAGTATAAAGACACGGAGAAATTGCCTGAAGAGTTAGTCGGGGCCGTTTAAAGTCTTGGTGAATTTAAGTAAGCAAAAATGGGCATTTTATGAGAAGCGAAAACAAATGTAAAGAGTGTGTGAGCGTTAAGCTTACGTCCATAAGGAAAATATGACAAGCTTAAATAAGGTTGATATGTTGCGTTAGATAGAATTAAGAATGATTATGTAATTTGTGAGTGGCATCAGTAGCAAAATGAATGCAGGATAATTGGTCGGCGTGTGCATGAGTATGCAGAAATGAAATATTAAATAGACGGCAGATCGAATGACGGATGAGCAATTGACGATAAGGGTGTGGTGTAGAAAAAAATGTAGACAAATTAAGCGTTAACTCAAAATGATAAAATTAGCTTAATATCTTGCTTAATACTTTGCCTCTGACAACTGTGACGTTAGCTTCGAATTGATTGTTACGTCCGAACGTGTTACACAAAGGATCGAAATTCAATGTGAAATTTTCTACAATTTTACTGGACGTCGGTGAGTATTTGATGTCGAGCATGTCGAGTGCTTTTAAAGTACTGTCGTGTGGCGCTCCAGGAGAATAAAGGGCTACGTTGCAGTCGAATCCGTTGTAGAACAAAATCCGCCCTTCGCCGGTTGGTATCACCGTGCTCTCTCCCTAGACAAATGACAGTTCAAGATTTATATACATCTATATACTCGATAGGTACTTACAAATATAAGAGATTGTAAAATCGCAGAGAACACGAATGCCACGACTGCCAACGAATAGCTGAAGATGATTCGGTGTATTGGTGTTGTAATACCAACTTTGGCCAAAATTGGATATAACGTGTAGTTGAAAGTCAATAGGAAAAACATCCCGAACATCGGATGGACGAATTGCATCTGGTCGGGTTTGATGGACCAATCGAGACCGTCTATTCTACCGTCCATCAGTGTCGCTTGTAAAGTCCACCGCGAACCCTGTCACATTAAATACAAATCACTTTAATATAGCTCTGGAAATCCTTGTGGTATCTCCAAGGACAAATTATTCAAGAATACACTCAATAGAGAGGTCCAATGATTGCCCTGCATGTTTCCTGATCCAGGACTTTTTTAAAAGTACACAATAGATTACCTACTTATTTCTCTTATCCCATTTGAGCATCTAACGGGAAAGTCCAATCGGACTTCCTATATTATAGCAAAAAGGACTACCTGTATAGTTCCTACGATTACAAGAACCTTATGTTAGTTGATGTTACACGACACACGTTTAGACATATAATAAGAAAATCGTATAAAACTCCTGTTGTTCTTGGGGAATAGGTAACAATATAATATTATACTCGTAAAGCCGAATTGTAACGAATCAATCGAGACTTACTTGTTGTTCGTATAAAGCCCAAAATATTGGATAAGCAGTGAATATCAATAAAATATCCAAAGCGGCCTTCGTGTCCGACACTTCCCTCTCGCTATACTTGCTTTTGGCATATTTTATCCAATGCTGTTTGACAGGAGTTGGCGAAGATATTTTTTGTCGCAGCGCATACTAAAAATCACAAAATTTAAATACAAACCTACAATTTTTTTAGAACGATCATTTGATACGATAATCGTGTCACTTACGAAAATGCACGACAACGTTTTAAATATGACATTGTGTTCAGGCACTTTTTTTACATACATGTTTCTGCCGAGGGTAAATATCACTGAAATAAAATCACAAACAGTATTATTATTATGTTATATAGGTAATATATCACATAAATAATATTAGATTTAAAATACATAAAAGATAATGATTGGTCATGGAGCTAATTTTGTGTATATAGACCTGTATTGTTACTTTTTGAGTATTTTTTTAATTCGGGTTAAAGAATACAACTCTTGATGCTTAGAATTATAAGGTTAATGAGAAGTAATCATTTTATTATTTCACTTGGATAAAAAACAAATGATAAACGGAGTATCGTATCAGATAAAAATGACGAGGTCGTTATATTACAATTAAAATCATAAAATTTCATTCACCTATAGCTGTAAACATGAGAACTGCTGGTACACCGAAAGCCAGTGGAAAACACGAGTCTTTGCCAAAACAGTGTACACTTTTTCTCAGTTCCGGCGCCAAGAAAGTGGAAATAAACGCACCGATGTAAATGGCAACCAAAAATTTACTGAAAAAATACTTGAGATCGTCTTGTTGTTGGGGCAATTTGAACTGATCACCGCCTAACGTTGCCACGCAAGGTTTTATACCACCGGTTCCGATAGATATTAGAATCAGTCCTAATATTGCAATTAGTCTACAAAATAAAACACACACAATAAATTAACATCGTCGACGTGAGATTTTCATAATAGCTTTAAAATCATTGTTTACCTTTGTTTATCGAGACTAAACGTGTCTGCCATAGATGCGCCGGTCAACACTACGTTTCCAACAGCATAAACAACTGATAGGCGCAACACTGTCCTGAATCATTAAAAATAATATTACTATAATATTGTACTGTAGAGAGTGTGCTGTATCATGCCAATACACTTCACTATTACTTAATAGGGTAATGGCTTTGATTATGAACGTACTTCACACCTATACTATAATATAGGTAAGCATCATACGTACTTACTTGTATTTGCCCCAGTACGAATCGGACAGAACGGCACCAAACAATGGCATTAGGTATGATAGGAATATAAAACCATGATACATCATTGTGGAATCGTCATGGCTATATCTTAACGTTGTAGTAAGATATAGCACTAATATAGCTGAAAGAACCAACAATATAACATTGTTTACAATAATATAATATGCTTAATGAATATAACGTCAAAAGGCATAACTTTTTTCCGTTTACATTATTTTTTATTTATTAAAAATATATTTAAAATGTGTAATGTTAGTTACAATAAGTAAATTTAAAAAAAAATATAATACAATGACAGGACAACGTGAAAGAAGAGGGTGTCCAGTAACACTACTTCAACATGGTATAACTTAAATATGAATATGAAATTGATACGGATTTGCTGATTTCATAGTTTAAATATATACATAATATGTTTATAAGGATAATTTACAACATTCAATTGATTAAATAACTTATAAAAACAAAAACCTAACCCGAAAATTCGAATAATCCATTAAATTAATAAACATATTTTATGTCCAATTTTAATTGCAGTTTTAAGTATTTATCAAAGATTTTAAATTCAATTTATCAATGTCACAATACTCGGGTGTATTTTTTTTTACATGCTTTGATAGCAATACAATATCCTGTAATAATATTGGGACTCAGACATTCAGGTCGTCGTACACAGGTCATATTTGGAGGTAACTTCACTAAAATTTCACGTTTTTTTTAAATCTTCCAAAATTAATTTAGTAATCTATTCACAATTATTAAGTACCTTACAAAGGACTAAAAAGTAAAAAATTAAATAAATAAATAAAGAACTTTTTTAAAAACATGCTTTTCTAAAAAAAATAGTAAAAAAGTGAACTAGAAAGTAAAAAGTACTTTTACTACAAGAACTATTTACCAATCAACTGTAGCACATTTTTTTTTAAAAATAGCAATTACTTTGAAAACAACCGAAAATTAACTACAATTTTAAATAATGTTAAACATCTTTAATTTTCGACTAAAAAGAAAAGCTTGGGCCCTATTCAACTAGGTCTCTAATAAATTTATCAGATACAATTTTTAGATAATGTTTTATATTGTAAGTTTTTTTGTAATTAACATTTTTACTTTGTAGTTCCCTTATTTACTATTTTTTAGAAAAGCAAGACTTTAAAAAAAAATTTTTTTTTTTTTATTAAACATTGTGTACAAGTATTGAAATATTTAAATTATTGCTGAACTCATTTTGCTGTTGAACCATATTAATTTAATTAAATATACATATTATAACGCATTAACAAAAGGCATTCAGGCACAATTTTAGATTTATTATTTACATTTTGTCTTAATATATATAAGATAAACGATGGACTTTTCTTGTTAAATAATTAACTTACTGTTATATAGTAAACACTGTATAAAAATTACCAATAAGCCTATATAGGTTAATCGACTTACTTCTTAGGCTAAAGTAGTTAAACCTTTCACACAGTTCGTTGCATATTATAAACCACACCGATTTGGGAAATGTCTGCAAAATAATAAAAGTTAAACTATTATATATCTTATAATCATTAAATTTATGTGAAAAGTATTTTTGTTACATAATGTGGACTGGTCACGTAACAATTAGGTTTAATTTCTAGAATATTGTTAAAATAATAATTATAGCCGTTAATATTATTCATTTAGCTTACTAGGTTTTCATTTGTAGGTGTAACAACAGATCCCATACTGGAACGGTTTATGGTATTAAATAGCTATTGTTAATTTAAAAAATATGTATTATAGTTTAAAAATGAAATATAATTATGCTATTTAATTACAATACTCATAATATACGAGTACACACTAATATTTTATTAAATAATTCAATAAGTATAATGACTGTTGATTCTGATGACCTACTGGTAAGTTGGTATCACATGCACTAAGTGTGAACCTAATAATATTACTAAAACGTTGTGAAGTGTACGAGAATTAAGTCAACGACAATCGTGAGCAACCCTACTTAAAAATAATCGTCTATAATAAAAGTTTATTTAAAGCACTTTACTGTTTCTGGCAACAGTGCTGTTAATTTTAAAACGCGTTGAATTTTTAAAATAAAACTACTATAATTAATATGTATACTATATAATACTATATATATATATATATATTTTGTTAATATAAACATAATATTTTAACGATGGTGATATAATAGACAATTTGTATTTTAGATTCCACTGGTACCAGCTGATATAAAATACAGAAAGTGTAGAATATAAAATCTTAGAATTAGGTATCTACTTGAAAAAATAGTACAAAAAACATCCACTGTAATTTGTCAATAGAAACGACGCCACGAGGTCACCGTTCTTGATAAACTTTTTTTTGAGAAGAAAGGCAGTGAGCCGTATCTACAATTAAATATCCCTAAAGTCTCCTATATACATTTGCTATATCGCCTGATGAGCTTAACAGGCGATTGTACCTCTAAATAACTTAACTCTCAAGTGTGCAACGAAACGAAAATAGGGTTTATTAAATAAGTAAATCTATGTATATAAATATATTACACCTTTACGTGTGATTTTTTTATGATTTCTGAAATCTTTCGAATGCACAAAACGTTTTGGGAGATGGTAAACTGCGCCAAAATTACCCTTTTTCTATAAGCTGATATGTAAACAAAATTATACAATGTATAACATTATACAAACTGCGACAAAAATGATAAAATACTGCGACAATTGATTTTATATACCTAGTACCTACTATATAATCTATATATATAAATGAATGTATGTTTGTATGTCCTTTATGCATTAGTACACAATTCATATGATCGCAATGAAACTTTGGGAAGTTGTTGAGTACACTCCCGCGAAGATAACTGGCATAGTACTTTTCGAAAATTCCACCTCTAAGGGTTGCCTTAAACACGAATTTTGTACTTTAAATACGAAATTTTTTTCGTTGCTAACCCAAAATAAACACTTGGTTTGTAACCATGGTAACCACGGTACTCGAGCGAATGATAATTAATTTTATGTAATGCCCCCCAAGCTCAAGCAAAATTGGAACTAGATCTGGGACTGGGACCCTCGAGTAAGAGGGGAACATAATCAATACAATGTAATGTACATAATATGTAGATCCAAAAAAAAAAACGAGACGGGGTATGCTAAAGCTTTACAATATACAGCCTGGAGAACTGATTTTTTTTTAACCTCATTTGTAACAATCTTATTTGTGATTATTTTACTCAGCCCTGGCAAACTAAATCTCGGGCATCACCGGGTCGGGACAGCTTGTTCTAATTTATTTAGTATTTTGTTGTTTATTCTTAAAACATACTTTTTTCAAAAAATCGTATCTTGAAATCTATTTACATTGACAATTTGTACGCAATAAAATTATTGATTAAACGATAAACGTGTATACTAACACGGTAGTATATGTATATTATTATAATTTCCGTACCTATACGAGTATATGTTATCGTATCGGTATTAGGTATATATATATAGTAGGTAAATCAAATAAATTGTTACAGTTTGAATAATGTTTAATTTTTTTTTGTCGCCATTTACATATGAACTTATAGAAAATGGGTCATTTTGGTGCAGTTTACTGTAATGGATTACTAAGTCCAGCCAAGTGTACGTCATGACCGATTTCTCCTTGAATATTAATATGTGCACGACCTAAAGGAGTTATTCTATACTTTGTATGTAACCAAAATGTAAACAACGTCATAAATTGTAAAATCCGATTATAAATTGTAAAAGCCAATTTATTTATGCAAATCATATACTTTGTACAGCTAAAAGATTGTAAAAACGCACAAACAAACACATAAATATTGTATAAACTATCTATCCGACAATGTTCCGCAATTAACAGTGGACAGCTTGGCCATTCACCAACAACCCGGATTAACGCTTGCACAACTGAGAAAAAGTCACCGAGGCGGGGATCCGAAGGACTCCTTCCACTAGAACCGGATGGGCATTTTACCTGCAACAAACACTCATTTTCATTGTCTGTGTATTAAAGCTTATTGTAATACATATAATACCTATTTTTGATTGAAAGTATTAACTTCATTTACAAATCTTCCAACTTCCTTCTTCAACCTTTTGTGTGCTAAGTCTCCAAAGGCCACAGACTTGCGGGAACTTCACATTACATAGGTTCAGCCATCGTTTTTTACAAATGTCACATCTGTATTTGTTTTCCCAATGTCGTTTCTTATGTTTGATCAGATCTTTGTAGCCGGTGAACTGTTTGCGACATAAATCACAAGATTTTTTTACCATTCCTACATTATTGTGCGCCATATCGATGTATTTGCCTAGCTGATATCGCTTGAAGATATAATAATGAAGATTAAATAATATTTTTAAAGTAGGTACCAACTGGTTAAAAAATAGTATGTACAGAACTTGAACTATGAAAAAAAAACTATTGGCTTCTAATTGTTTTATTTTACCAAATATTATTTCAAAATATTTAAATATTTTGTCGATTATTAAATAACGAATTTGGAAAAAAAACGGGACCTATATGACACTAGAGCCCGGACCACTTAAACATTTTTTTTTTTTAAACTAATAAAATAAATTTAAGTATATTTTTATACGTGTGGTACGCATAATATTTTAACCTAATTGATGAAATATAGTAGTATTGTATTTATACATTTTATAGTTTTACCGCTTGAACGGATTCAGACACATTCTCTTTTTACCAAAATGTAAACCTATTAAATTTAAAAACATTAAAACATTTCTATTGAACTGATACGCACTCGACATGATAATTATTAATAATATTATATTACCTTTGGTGGGTTTCCTAATTTTTTGCGGTTTTTTTTTTTAAGTACAACTTTAACGATCTGCCCTCACCCAAAACTCTTAAAACTACCATTAACCCTGTTCTCGCGGAAGCCAGTTTTATTTTATTTTTTCAAGGTACATTTGGAACTGGGTGAAACTCGAAACAAAAAATTTTGGCTGATTAGACCAATGTAACTTAGAACCGAGAACTAAAGCAACTGTAGCACCGGTTGAAAGTAAATAGAAACGAATAGGGCCAAATTGGTCGAGTACCAATGTTATATTTTGCAAACATTATCAACAAGTTAGGAACGCCTTTTCTCCAATTACCAACAAACATATATTATAGTAACACATAATATATTTTTGATTAAATTATTTTTATGTAATTATGACATTGTATTATTATTGCGAATAAAATATTTTTATGTATAATTAAAATTGAAATGTATCATTATTGAAAAATATATATATATACATTTTTTTGACTATGTAAGAATAAGATGATTTTTTATACTATAAATTTATGAAGAAGATTATCTGTACTAATCTAATTTCATTACACCATCGCCGCGACTACCAATTCATCTCCTACGTATAAAGTAGTAAATCTTCCTTTATACTGGGACGGAAGTTGTGCGGTACTTAACTTATCGACCATTTGGATGTAGTCTGCTGTCCTGAAACCGATCATTAATATATTACAAAATGGTTATAAAATGTATAATTTTTATGTATACATGATATAAGCAAAGGTATTAATTATTAAAGAAATGCGATTATAGAAATAGGTATTTACCTATTGTCTCATGAGATATGTGATTTATTTCCTAGAGCAGTGGCGTATTTATGGAGGAGGGGATTGGGTATAGATCCCCTCCCTCGATCTTTTGTTTTTTTTTGCAATTGAGCTATTCGTATTTATCAGTATAATATTACCTTTAAATATACCTGTTTTATAACTATTCTAAAAAGGCCAATATTACTACTCACGTTGGTTTTAGAATTCCAATCACAGCTGTAAAACATAAAAAGGTTTTTACAATAATATGCCTTCTACAAAATTCGTAATATGTTATATGTGTTTAAATATTTACCTAAACTTAAAATTTCTATGTAATGATAGTCAAATGAGATTTATCGAATGAATTATGTTTAACATCTGAATGCCTAGTTTTCCACTATTTGTATTAAATTAATTGTGTAGACATTATTAAATTATTTAACCGGTCTAAGACTGGATTATTTTTTTTATTTTTTTACAAAAGTACAGACTTTTTCTTTATCTTGGTAAAACATCTTCTATATGGTAATGCTATATTCTTATATTATATTATTTAAATCAAAATAAAGAAATGTCATATTACCTGAGTTAGAAAATGATTCTGGATTTACTCCATCTGCAAAGGATATTCTTAATTAGATTTTATCTGAGAACTATTATTACTATTTATTTTATATTTTTACTTTGAGCCACAAACATATAGTAGTCAGTCGCTGAAATAGAGAAAACATTTATAAATTCAACGAGCGTATTAATTATTTATGTAATAACTAAAGGAATACAACAATAATTTAATATTAAAATGTTCGGTTATATCTATATTTGGTTTTGATCAAATACATAAGATTAAAATTTATTTCAAAAATTACCCACGATAAAAAGAAAAAAAACTTAGAAAAAATATGTCTTTAATTAACTATAACATTTTTAATTAACCCTCTCCAAAACTATTTTTTTTTAAATATCAACTTTTAAAACTTGAACGGTGAAGTATATACTTTATTAACTTTTTAAATTAAGAATATTATTAATTAAACCCAATGAGATGTTGAGCGGTTCACGATAAAATCGTCATCCTGTATACAACTTTACAGGAAAACTGTGTTTTAACAGTGATTTTTTAAATAAAAATTTTATAGTTTTCAAGTCCGCCTATGAAGATTATAATAAGAAATGTACATATTACATTAGTACAATTAAGGCTAACAGAAATATATATTTACATTTGTTACATATATTATATATTTACATACATTTATTGTCTCGAGTGAATCGAAAATGTACTATGTCTTTTTCCTTGAAATCATCTAAAACAAAACCACCATAGATTACATAATATAGGTACATAGTAATAATACATTACCATAACCCGCGTGGATTATGGTTAAATAATAAACGAAATACGCTTACGAGTAGCAAAAGCAAAAACGCAGACAGATAAAACAAAGTAATAAGTGATGGTTCCCATATTGATGTATAAAAGTATAGACTACACGTTAAGCTGAGAACAATAGTAGAAAACTGATTAACTCATGGAACTCGTCGAGCTCTGGATTGTATTCAGTGAAGAAATCCACTTGATCATACTAAGAAAACCATAAATAATAGGTATTGAGTACAACTATTAAGACAAATATGTCTGTTCTGATTCATCTGTGTTTGCTAAAAGTGTTTATCTTACCAACCCGCATAGGACAAAACAAATTTTAATTCATGCTATAATTTGCTAAAAATCTACTAAAATGTCAAAAATACAATTTGCCTTGTACAATTTGCCTCTGAGAATCTGTTGTTAAATAAGAAATAAAATATATCGGTTTGTTCAATTCTTTAACAGTTTATAATAATGTATATCTATTTTATTTATTCGTATGGTTTGTCGTTACATACAATATATAGTATATAGTATAATGATAATAGGATAACACATAATAAAATGTACAGTAAATATGAGCAACAGTAGTTAAATATTGTTATTAAGCTAACAGATTAAGATATATGGTATCAACATTGGAGCTTCTTTGTCTGGTGGCCTTGAAAGGGGCTTTTTTTAAGGTTATGTTAAGTTGGGTTGAATTGAGTTATATGTAACCAGGCCAGGAGATCGTTAGAAACGACAGTTTGACCCCCAAATTTGGTTAGAAAACCTAACCGGTTGGTTTAGGTTTAGGTTCTCGAGGTTGGGTTTTTAAGGAGTTTCCTTTTCCTGGTCCGTTGAGGCTAAGTGCTATCAAGTAGACTTATAACCGTATTCAGGGAAAAGGGTTTTCCGGGTTTAATCCCCCCCCCCCGAAATTTCATTGAAAAATATTTGTATTACCTTTCCTTTATGTCTTTTGTTTCATTTTTTTTTTTAAGTATTTCTGAAAATGGTGTAAAAAAAAGAAAAATATTTTTATGTAAGTTTTCTTTTAACTTTAAAGCCTAAAATAGAATTAAATAATAATAAATAAGTGATATTATCGTTATCGCCTGCTTAGGCTTATGGACACGCCAATGAATTTTAGTTTTTTTCGAATTTCGTTGGTGTACCTTATTGGAAGACGTCAATAAGGAGGAATACATTACTTATACCAAATCAAGCACTAGAAAAATGTCTAGAATTAACAAACCAGACATATAAAAAAATATTATTTTTATTATTTTATTTTGAATTTAAATAGTAAGAATTTCACTGAGCGGAGAAACTTAAGTACAATTATTTCGTCTTTAGTTAATTCCGGACCCTTACAGCTGTATAAAATAAAATTATTATTAATATTTAAAATAAATTACTACATGGTTTGCTTACGGGTTACTTCGTATTATTTATACTTATTAGAAAATTTATTATCGACCTCCACGTGTAAATAATTGCACTTGAATCTAAAAAAAAAAAAATTAACATAATATTAGTAAATAGTATTTAGTAATAATTGGATTTGGACTTTAGATTTCGTATCTAAATTATTATATATTAAGAGATTTCTACACAGCATGCTGGGTTTTTGCATTACCTACTCTGAAGCCCAAATGTGAAATCGCCCTGTTAGACTCTCAAATGCTTAAATTCATTCACCAACTTTTAAAATTCCAAGTGTTCTTATAAAAGTTTTTTTTTTAATCAGTTATTATAAATAACAATAAGAGAGAAGAATATATTGCTGTATTATGTTACATAATATAATAACTGTATGTGTTCAAAATACCTACCATCAAGTCTCCAGGTGAAACTCCTTTTGAGTATTTGGTTACCTTCGGATTTTTTTTTTAAATAGTTTGAAGTTACGTCCAAACTTATGATGAAACATGGCAGTAATGTTTAAGTCGTTCGAAAAAGTAATTGTTTTAACGTAAAATATATCTGCAGAACGCTTCGACACAATGCATATTGTTTGCTGAAAATATTAAAATCTAAGAATTGACTTTTAATATACTATCAATATACAATTGCTACGTCTTGTTATTCAAACAACAAGCAGAAGTTAACATAGAAACGAATTGTTTTTAGCAGTTAAAAACTCACATAGAGTGAGCAAAGGTTTGCAAATTTTGTGTTCAAGGAGATCCTATATTATATTATATTATATATAATAAAGGATCTCTTTGAACACAAAATTTTCTTTACATTATTAATATTAATTTAGCATAGATTGAATTAATTGACAGAGTAATTGTGGTTGATAAAAGGGTATGTATAGTAGCTCGTCCAGTATGCACATTCGTTTTATTCAAAGAATTATGTATTATAAAAATAATCTTGATCAAATGAAAGATGTAAAACTTAATTAATTAAATATTAATGAAAATGGTTTGGAAATATTTTTAAATAATATGATATGTCATTGTTACTTTTTGACATTACACTGGTGCAGACAACGAAACGCCTTAATTAGTGAACAAAAATTAATTATGTTTTTAATCTTAAATCATATGTATATTATTTCTATAATTATTAGGATTTAGGAATGTCATTTTACATTTTTTTTAATGCAATTTAAGAAGTATGATTTAGAGGGACGGATAGTTTTATTAAGGCCACGATATGATTAGAGATGCCTACTGAAAGATTTTGACGTACTTTCCAACTTCTTAACGCATAGCCCTAGACATGAGCCTTCCCTTCTCTCATATCACCACTCACCGGACCCTATTTTCAAACATGCATCAATTTACTATATACTGTAAAAATAGTATAAGGTTTTTTTTCAGATGTTTTCTCAATTCTCGGCCATGTTATTTACATTACAAAGCCGGGTAGGTACGATTTCCAAAATATATGCTTGCTACGTGAAAAATGCATTTAAGTAAATACAAACAAATTGAAAAAATATGTAAAAAGACGTCATTGTAAAAACAACACCGTAATATAGCTCCGCATCGAAGCTAAAAAACACCTCAATAAATATTTGAAGGACTGCAAGGAAAAACCGTCATAATCACGAGCCAATTTTTTTTCTCTAAAATTTAGATTTATAAATTTGATTATTTTGTAATTAAACTTATCAATAAAGATAGAGTTAAAGAACAATATTATGTTACGTGCGTTATCTTATAATAAATCTCCGAGTCTTTTTGGAGTTCTTAAACTTTAAAACTGCAATACTGAAAACTTTGGTTATAATGACTATGATCGTTTTGACCCGCAGCCTTCATTTGTAAAATGTATTTACTTTCTAAGCTACTTAAATAACGCGCGAAAGCCCCAAAAAAAATATATAAAATGTGTTTTTATGATTTGTGCTACAATTTATAAAAAACAAAGGTTTTTTAGATCATCAACTTCCGAGCCCTAGATATTATGCAATACAAGATAATAATTTTATGGTATTGTTTATTTTGATGAGAGTAATGTTGTAAAATATTATAGTTTATGTTTTTTTATATTTACTAACTGGATGTTTTTTTTAAAATAAATAATTACCTATGTTGTTTGTACTATTGTTACATTAAAAAAAGACAAAAATCATAGTTTTTGTATAATGTTATTTTTAATGCTTTGATTATGTTAATTCATTTGTTTTTATATTTCATTATACCTATGTAAAAAAAAAGGAGACGTGTTAATGCTCATGTGCTTTTGTGTTTTATTTAAATAATTCACATAACTAATAGGTCCTTACTTAAGAAAACAGTTTTTCTCAAATTTGAAGGGAATGGGGTGAAGTTTTTAAATATTTGTCTCTACGAGTATAAGGTACATTTCATATCTGATTTTTATTCTGTAGCCATGCTACATGAAGAAATCGATTCAAAAATATTTTAAATAACGCCCAGGTGCCACATTAGCTTAACCAAGTCCTTTATACCTAGGTATAGCTATGTTCTTTACTATACTCTTGAAAGTGAACATTACAAAGTTATATTATTTGAATTTGACAAAAAACACGCCTCTTTCTGCAATGTTTTTCCATCTTCATTCACTGCAATGCGTGGTAGGGGCGACTTAGTAAATTTACACACCTTTAGGAATAAAATATATTAATAGAAATTGGGCATCGCATGTAGTTGTTCGATTAACGAATTCATAAAGCAATGAAACAAGAATAATTGCTCTCAGACCAGAGCTGGTCTGTGTATTATAGTATAGATAGCATTGGCATTGTCGCTACTAGAGGGGAGGCTCGGGGGGTGCAGACCTTAAAAAGACCCTGTATACGATTAGGCGTAGCACGAATAACTAAATAAAAAATGAAGGACCAACCAATAAAAGTTAATTTGACAGGAGTATAAAAAAATTCCTAAGTCGACGCCTGCTAATTCAGGGAGAGGCAACTTAACGCATCCTGGCGTGATAATGGGAACGCAACACAGCGTTAGGAAATATTTATCCAAAGGATTTACAAAAAGGCAATGGAGGAAGGACATCAATAGGGAGATAAAAAAAAATGTAAATACACAATTTTAAACTGTTTTTCTGAAACACACTTTATATTTCTTTTAAATGCAAACAACAACCAACAATATACAATTAAGAACATAATGACGTCTTGAATTTACAAAATTTAATTGTATAGTTTAAAATATATTGTTGGCTTGGAATTGAATTGAACCAACACTAGATATGTACAATGTTTTGCATATTAGGTTATTAAGTATTTTAAATTCTCCGTTCACTTGTTTTGTAATTGAATGAAAATCAGCAAATATGAAATGATAGTCGCAATCACCTGAAAATCAATCAAACTTGTAAGTCTACAATCTACAACCTAGTTGGTAAAACATTTCTAGAATACATTTTTTTTCAATCCAAAAAAGTTTCAACCCTGTTGAATGTAGAGACTTCTAGTTTAGAGGTATTAAAGTGTAATATTCAAGCCAATTGTAATTGAATGAAAAAATATACCTATGAGTTAAATGCTATTACAAACGAATGTTTACAGCGACCCGACGCTGATTTTTTTTGAAAGCTACACTGCATGTTTGTTACAGTAAAAATAATGTTCTTAAATTTTTTTTTCAGAAAGTTGAGATAATTTCACATAACATGAGTAAATTTCAAACTAGGTTCTCTATAAAAACAAAAAAAAGGGGTGAAATTTCATAGAAAAGTCTGTAGTCTGCCATTACCTAATCATTACTATATCAATAAAAATAA